AGGCCTGGCGAGAGGCTGGTGCCTGCTTGGCTGGCCAAGGTCTGTGACAAGCCAAAGCCAAGTCTGACCGAGAGGCCTGCCAGAGCTGGGAGCAGCTTCTGACCTTGCCCCCTCCTTTCCTCCCCCACTGTGCTACCACCTCTGACTCTCCCAGCATTCACAGGAAAACAATGCGAAACAATGCCCTTCCGTGCTCACACTGATAAAATAGCCGTTTCTTTCCCAACTGCTGTAGAACAGACCCTCCCTGCTCTTCCTGGGTGGTGGAGAGATGCAGATTTTTCTGGGAAACTAGTCTGGGAACAGAGATGGGGTTCGTGCTTCTCATGCCACCACCGTCAGCAAAGAGGCACCACTGTGTTTTGTTCTGCCTGACCCTTTCTCCTTGGGCTCCACATCCTGGCCCACCCCATACTCAGGGGCCCTGCTCTGCCCCACGTCACCAGAGCGCCGGCCTGTCCCATGCGCTGGGGACCCTGGCCTGCCCCATGTCACTGGAGCCCTGGCCTTTCCCATGCGCTGGGGACCCTGGTCTGCCCCACGTCACCGGAGCCCTGGCCTTTCCCATGCGCTGGGGACCCTGGTCTGCCCCACGTCACCGGAGCCCTGGCCTTTCCCATGTACTGGGGACCCCGGCCTGCCCCGTGTCACTGGAGCATCGGCCTGTCCCTTGCCCTGGGGACCCTGGCCTGCCCCATCCCTGGGACCCCAGCCTGCCTGATGCAGGAAGGGATGGTGGGGCAGGCTGTTGTCCTCACCTTCCCTCTCCATAGCAGTGAGCACAGCAAGAGGTAGAGAATATAATGTTGAGAACCAAAAATGTGCAACTGTCACGACAGTGCCGGCATCCCTGATAGACTCTGGCCTGGCAGAGGCTGAGGAAAGCGTTCATTTTCTCCCTCCAGAGCTGAGATTGCTCCAGCCCTTCACAAGAAAGTCTGAGGGGCAGGGGGTGGCTGCGGAGCCTGTCCCTGCTCCTCTGTGACCCTGCGGCAGGTGTCAGGACAGGGCCACCAGCCCTGGAGCTCGCTGCCTCCCACCACCTTCAGACAGACCGCCAGGTCTCCGAAAATCAGGTGGTTTTATTTAGTGCCTAAAAGGCGCCTCCTTTCAAACACCTGCTTTTGAAATGTTTGGTGCTGATGGCCATAACGAGTCTGGGTATTTACAGTGAAACGATTACAGGAAAAATCCTGCCTTGTCTTTAATGGAGTAACTCCAGAGCACATGTAGATTCTTCACATTCTTAATGCTTTTACCATATGAAAAATAATGTGCTCTGTGCAAATAATTCCAGTATTTCATTCGTTTTTCATCATCTCCTATCTCTGGAACATTCCCTCTCCCTCTTAACAACATAGTTTCCTAGATTTCATGGCAAAGGACAAGATCAGTTTTGTGTTGCCGTAATCTCTTTTGAACCAGAAAATTGTTTCCAGATTATTGAATGTGGGATGGAAAAAACATCATATTTATGAATTGGTAAAACAGATAGACTTCCAATTGAGTGTAGTTCCAGAAGGGGTTTGTGATGATTATCTGGGAAAAAAAAAATGTTTTCATTATTAAGTGTCAAAAATGCTGTATTAAAATTTGTTAGAATATATTTATCCCAGGCTTTTAGTACTCATTTTTGTTCCAAAGGTTACTGTAGCCTGAACCAGTTTCTTATTTTAAAACTTATAATAGTGGAAATTCTGTAACGTATTTCTTGGTTTGGAATGAATTAGGTCAGATTCACTAGTCTTCTCATCACCGTTCAAAATACCTTTCAACATGAAGACAGAAATGTAAGACGCGCACGCTGTATTAAATCGCAGTAAGAACACGTCTACCGGCTGGGGACTGACGGAGCACTTTCTTCTCCCCTCCTTGTGTCTGTTATCATCTCATTACTTGTTTTGCTGCCCTGTTTTCTCGACATCTGGGTGTCTTGGAGTCTCTCCTGGCTATGGTATCTGCGTGCTGTCCCAGCAAACCTCTGTTTCATTCCCTGAATGTGAATGAAATCATTAGCCTGGATAATCTGGCTGGCTACAAGCTGGGCTGGTTACTCGCTTTGTGTCACATCAGCTTGCTTTTGCCTGGTGTTGGTACCTGCATTTGAGTTTATATGGCCCTTATCGATTGGCATTATTGCTTTGGCCACCAAACGGCAACTGGAGCTGGGGGTGGCCAGAGCTCGGCTGTTCCCACGTGCCCAGGATGCTGCAGTGGTGGTGGATGCTAAATCTGGGGCTGCATGTGTCTGTCCATTCATCCTCACCAGTAGTCGCTGCTGGTCTTAGTCTCTTGCTTTTTGAGAAGTTTTGTTCACAGTCATCTTCCAAATCCCAGCGCGCTGTTAGCATTTGCTTTTGTGTGTCTCCCCAGTCACTTAACTGCTGGTATATAGGGATGTATTTTCAGAAGGTCCTGTCTGAGGTCCCGTATTTGATGTGTGTCTGTGTTGTGATGTGCCATTGACATACTGGCATGTGAAAGTAGGCACCTGTGTGAGCAAAAGGCTGTTTTGGAGCCCACCAAGGAAGTCACCTGGTACCTGACTAGTATATGCATTTATGTAAACAGGTAAACACACAAATGTTAGCCTTTCTATCCAAAAAAAAGTCGTTGTTGTTTAGTGGCCTTTGGTACCTATGGAAAGCGCTGATCATACCTATTACGGTTCTTCTTCATGTCTTTTCTTCTGCTTTTTAGGAATTTCTAAGGATATGTGCATGAAATCAAATGTGGTTTATGATAATGTTGCTGTACAGTCTGCATTTGGTGTCCTGTGCCTCGTCTGTTGCATTGCTGTCCTTTCCAAAGCAGACAGTTGCAATGTCAGGTGTGAAGGATTTGGGCTGGCAAGTAGTCATCTTGGGCAGATTAAATGCTTCGCAGACAAAAATCCTGGGTTTGGGGAAAGTAAAAATAGTAACAAGAAGAAGTGTAACGTGTTTAATCCTGAAAGCTTATATACAGGAAAAAAACTATTGGGTAGGTAAAAGAGAAAATGTATGTAATGCTGAAAAAAATTATTTTCACTGGTTCCAACAGGCGCTGATTGTTTTAGGTGCCTGTCTCATCAAATCATTAGAAGTTTATTATCTGGGTGGTTGTTTGTTTTGTTCTTTTTTAACCAAGCAGATGTCTTTTTCATTGTCTGTTACCATGCAAAAGCTGTCCAAACCAAGATGCGGTAAGCTGCTGCAACAAGGTATATGCAAACTGGTACCCATGGGCCTTTGCACAAACTCTGTAGTGTCTTTCCAATCCTGTGGTAATCATTCACCTAGAAAAACAAGTCTGAAAGCAAATATATCTGGCTTTAACAAACGGTTCTCTTGTCTTACAGAGAGAGGATACAAGCCATGGAGAAACAGATTGCCAGTTTAACTGGTCTTGTTCAGTCTGCGCTTTTTAAAGGGCCAAATACAAGTAATAGCAAAGATGCTTCTAGGTAAAAAAAGAATTCATTAAATCTGTTTCTCTGTAATCATTTTAGTAATCAATCAACAAAAATAATATTTGAATGTAATAGTAAAAAAATCCTGAATGCTCAATCATTTTTAAATATCTTTATCATCCCCATGAGAATGCTAGGCAGAGAGGAAGAATATGCCAAATGATAGATGGAGATTAACTGCATTACTCTTCTTTGTGTTAAAAAGAATTAATGTAGCTACATCTCTGTGCTTTCTACTGCTTATACTCCGTTCCTTGCTTAGCTTGTATTAAAAACTGATTTAAAAAAAAAAAACAACTGACAAGCTACCAGTGATTTAAATTAAAAATATCCATGCTAGATAAGGCCATTTAATTTGCTGATTATAAACTTCACTACAGTTTTATTCTTAGTAAGTTAAAATTATGATTTTTCTTTTTATTACTTAGTGAGAAGATGATGTTGAAAATTGTGTCCAGCAAGAGCAGCATTGACACTGCAGGTAAGATAATTCACTTTTCATTTACAGATTATTCTGGTATATGGATAGCTGTAATGTTATTACCATTCCAGCTTATGGAAATGTCAAATTTACTTAAATTCCCATAGCTGTACTGTCAGAACTGAAGTTTAACTTTAGGATATGGGAGTTGATCACATCTTTGTTAAGAGAAGAATTTCTGACAGGTTGAGGTGGTCTTTGGAATGAATTTCGTACCTGCGCTGAGTGGTGTAAATGAGATACAGTCTCTTCATACGGTGAATTTTCCAGTGATTCATCCCGTCTGTAGTATATATCTGTCATTAACCTCAGACATATCCAGATTGCTGTAGAAGGTTAAATATTTCATTCCTATTCTGGTCCCATGAACTTTTCTCTGAGGTTCTTCTGTCAGTAGGACGCTATGGATGTAATAACACTAAGGAATTTAGCAGTCAGCAAGATAGCACTTTCCCTGATTAAGCCGTATTGATCTGTTACTAATTATTAGCCTGTGCCTAAACTGTTCTGAGCAGGCATCAATTATGAAGCCAATAAGAGCAGGGTTTATTTTAGCTTCCCACTTGGAGAGCTGTTAAGTGTTTAAAAGATGGGGTTAAGGCTGTTGTGAAAGAAGATCTCCATGTGATTGGAGCTCTTTGTGTACGGGCTGCTGCTGGAGATGCCTGCAGGGTGTGTGTGTGTTTATATGCCTCCTCTTCACCCTTTGTCATGCACTGAATGCAAATAAAGGCAGTTCCCTGCTTCCTGGTAATGCTGTTCCCACAGGGAGGTCTATGCTCTGGCAGGTAGTAAACCACACACATTTATTAGCAGATCTGTTATGCTCTTAACTAGCCTTTCTGATGAAGCTCTTAGTTCACGTTCAGGATTCCGGTTTATCTGGAATTGCAGTATGTCCTCCTAACGGACAGAAATCAAATCAGACCTGGAAACTATCAAGCATTTGCAAGAGCAAGCAAGCTGATGTCCTGATAGTGGAGCTTTGCTCGCAAGCCACTCTCTGGTCCCCTTCCAACTCTTCGCTTCCTGCTGGCCCCTGGATAGGGAGAAGGATACTTCAGGCTGTGAAGAAATAAGTTGTAATTTATCAGTTTCAGACAACTTACTGAAAACTCCATCATTTTTCAAAACAGCTGCAAAATGCTCTTAGACTTTTCCTTATTTCATTGTCATTATACACTGAGAATTTATGGTATTTCCCACCTGCGCAGGCCTTGTCTCATAGAAAACACCTACGAAACCACCACAATCTGCGCACACATTGCCTTGTTTTCCTCTTCGTATTGTATTGCTGTTCGGCCATTCCACTTTCCCTGTGTTTGTACTAATTCAGATAAGTACTTAGCAGGGAGCACTGAGGTGGAAGTCCTGATCTAGGTGGGCCCTGCTTTGAGTGGGAGTTTGGACAGATCACCTCCAGAGGTCCCTTTCAACCTGAATTATTCAATGATTCGTGTGTGCTTGTGTGAATGTGCTCTCAATGAAAAGAGAAATTAAATAATATACATTGGGAAAATGGCCTTATACAAAGGGGAGATGCGGATTCCTCAGTGTGGAAGTCATGCCCAGCCCACCAGAATAGCATAGTTCATCTGACCAGAAGCCGTTCCCTGCCATTGTTGTTCCCAAAGACTCTGCATTAGCTTGTCGTGTGACTGAACACATGTCCCTGAAATGGAAAAATTCCATATATCAGCTGTATGTCCAAGCCTGGAGCGGGAGGGCATGTAATTTACTGTCAAAAGACCAGATCAGCATCTGTCATGTACCGACAGAGGCATTGACTTTGTCACATGGCCATGCCCGTATCCAGCATGTGAGTGAGGATACCAGCATTCAGGTTGTGCAGTAGATGCCTTTCTGATTGCTTGGGGGGCAGGGGTAGGGCAGTGGGACCAGCCGTGCAGCCAGCCGTCTGCAAGGGTCCTTATCAGGGCTGTAAAGTGTAGTTGTAACTCCAGCATCTTCATCCCTAAATCCTGTCCTTCCAGCATGACTCAGCCACAGAATTAAACTTGGCAGGTAAGGGAAACAAGGTGTGATGCTGACCCCAATATACTACAGTATTGTAGCCCACATCAGCTATTATTGAAGACTGCTGTATAATAGAATACTCCTGTATAATAGAGTGTTCTGCTTTTGCACCTGCTTTTGAAGTTGCATTTGACATGGTCTGATCAGTCAGTGCAGGCCCTGCTTACTTGAAAATCAGGCAATCTGCCAGAATATGCTAGACAATGTTTCTCCTTTTTGTGATTATGCTTGGGTTTAAATGTGCAGCAGCATCTAGAAACACTTCTGCTGACCACTGTTTTGTTCTTCAGTTCACCCCAATCCTTATTAAATATAGCCATTTAGATAGTCGACGATCTAAGTGTACAATTCCACTTGACAACTGTGCACTGAGATACCAGTTTTAGCAATTTCAAAGTCTATTTGAAAGAAAATGTGGTATAAAATGTTGATTGAGCAGTCCTTTCTAGAGCACTGGTAAGCAGAAATGTGAATTGCTTCCCATCCTGAATAATAAAACTTCTGTGCAGGATAAAATTGGCTCATCGATGTTGAACCAACATTGTATTTTATAGTATATGTTCCAATGATAGGAGACTTTAATGCAAAAAATAGAGAACTAGCTCACTTGGGAAGGGAAAGAAACCAAACTTTCTAAATCCTAGATAACTCTATGTAGCTAGATTGTGAATACTCTGGTATTTCATGTAAACCAAATTGTTGTATTTAACATGTTTTTGCTTTGCCACTCTGTAGCAGATTCTTTAGCCTCCAATATTAAAGAGCCTAAGTAAAAATGCTTTTTGACTGGGGAAGATGAGCGTGTAACGATGATGCTTGTCTGCATTTCTTATGTTTTATTGCTTTAGGCTCAGTTCTTTCATGGGGGATGGGTTCAAAGAGCAGCAATCTTCCACAGACTGGCTATGTCTCTTCTGCTAATGTTAGGAGAAATCCCATGACTGAGTCTTTATAACTTTCTTCAGTTCATCAAAAGTGAAAGGCATCAAGGGACTTTTCACTTAGAAACAGCATGTGACTCTAAATACAAATAATACTGGAAAAAGTTTCCTTGAGATTACTAACAAACATGCTGAGAAATGGTAACCTCTCTTTTCTGTCATATTTTTGTTCATCAAGTGGTGAGACTTATAGGTTAAATCCTGGATTCATTGGTTAAAATGACATCAGTTGTATCATGGATTACCAAAAAAAAGCAATACTTTTTTGCTAGTTGCTGCCGTGTTGAAAGAGGAAGAAGGATATTTCAGTATTTCCTGAAAAGAGATCAAGGAGTACATCTTTCTGCACTAACACCACCAGTACAAACCAAGAGAGGGAGATGGCAGCATGAAAAGTATTACACGTGTAGGGCTGGGATTTGATTGCTCAGTCTTTGCGAACTGTCTTGTGTGGTTTTTTCACATGCATGACTTTTACTGTGATGATCTGTGAATTAAAAACATTGTCTCTATCTGCTTACTTATGTCAGATCTGAAGATCAGTCATACCAGTCTTTGAACTCTGTCAGTGTTTGCGGGTAAAACATGATCCTGAATTCATTCTGGATCAATGACGTGAAGTTGCACACTAATATATTTATATAGAATATTTTATTCTTTTAAGGGTGCTTTAGTGCCTGGCCATGACAGCTTGTTCATGATGGAGTTGCAATCTTAACATTGTATTTGCCTATTTGTTTAGTGGATTCTAACTGGATAGAAAGAGAACTAAGTAACTGTCACATGTCTCCCCAAATGATACTTGAAAATGTCGCTCTTTAATAAGGAGATGAGTAATATGTGAAGAAATATTGCTGGGTGTCATCTGATGGCCTTTTATTCTAGCCTGCTTTAAAACAAAACTTAGCATTTTAGAAAGAAAAATAAAATCTGGAAAATGGAAGGAGAGCGGTGTCTTTGCAACCGTAGCAAAGGTCAAGTGTCAGGGAGTGGCAGCTCTGTTCCTTACCTTCCTGAGCCTGGCAGATAGAAAACCTTTCCCCTTACTGCACATCAGTTCTCTTTGTACTTTAAAAATGGCAGCTTAGTTCATTAGTTTTTGTAAGAAAAAAGTCAACATTTGTTTTTTGTCCAGAGTATTAGAGAATTATGAAGGGTTTTTGCATTCAGGCCCCCTTACCTAGCTCCAGCAAGCGTTTCTTTAAAAACCTGAGAGCCAGTGCTATTTCTTTCCCTTCAATCCATCTGGCTGCACACGTAATTGCAAAGCTACAGCCTGGGAGTGAGCTGTACTCACTAGATGAAGCAGCCCCTCATTCAGCTGCCTTTTTATTCCTTTTTGATGAAAATATGTATCTCTGAGAAATCAGCTGCTGATCCTTACTGTGCTCCCATGCTCACTTGATGTCTGTGGTTGTGTTTCACACCCTCGGGACTCTCGCATTGTGGTTCACAGGCTCTGAGCACACTCCGCAGCAGGGACACTGTGGCAGCTGAGAGTACCTGATGGGGAGAAGAGGTGGCTGAGGCAGCAGAGGAGGAGGAGAGCTGCTTCGTAGGTAGCCGGAGATGTTTATTGTTCACAGAAGCAGATCACGGTCCATCTACACCAAAAGGAAAGCAAGCAAACACCCCTTCCTGAGAAAAGATGTGAATTGATTGGGGTCCAACATGGGGGGGAGAGACTGATGGGGGACTGATTCATGCCTTGGCTGCATCATCACAGGTTCGGGGCTGAGGTTTTGGAGATTTTGCTTGAGGCAAAGAATAGCAGAAAGGTAGATGTGCTTTCAAAAATAGTCCAGATTTGTGGCTAGGGATCAGAACTCTTGGAGGCTTACTCACATTTTTCAGACTGTCTGGTGGTTTCTGTCTGTATGGTTTATGAACTAAATATCCTTTTCTTAAAAGAAATGCAAAAAACAGTGCGGGTGGGAGGAAAATAGATGCTTGATTGTAGAAAAAACTGCAGTGTACATGTAGACAGAGAAGTATATTAGCATATATTAGACTGAAGCATGGAGTGGATACAGAACGGCAGGGCACACGGACTGTTTGTTTCTTGAGTGTTGCTTTCTGTTAAGCAGCTCTTTGGAAGTCAAGAGAGCATTGAATCGTAATGGAGTATAGCAAAAATGTGCAGCAGCTTGCTCAGCAGTGAAATGACAAGTGCTGTTGTTGAAGCACTGAGCAGATCTAGCTGGAGCACATTTAGGTAAGGTATAGCATTACAACGGCCAGCACCGGGCTAGAACGGCTTTTTGTTTGAGCATGTCTCTGGAAGCCTGTGGCGTGGCACACTGTATATAGCATGGGTGCAGACAGAGGGACCTGTGCTTTTATTGACAGAAATTGCGAATGTAGGTAAAGCAAGAAACATGATTCTTCAGGAATCTTTCAGTCTATTTTTAAATAAAAAAGGTCTGGCATGATTTCCATCTTTTAAAATGCTTCCCTCACATGAATTTTGCAAAGGCTACATTTGAGGTATCTGCATCTGTTGGCAAAGGAATAATCGTGGAGACTTTACTGGTTGGAAAGACTACTAGGGATGAGAAGGCAGGGATAAAACCTACCGCTCTTGAGTTCATGCTCATTTCACCCAGAAAAATGTGTCATGACCTTTGGTGCGCTGCAGATTTGCCTTTAACAGGCAAAGAAAAGCTCACAACACTAGCTTCTGTTTGATTTCATTGACATTGATAGAATATGTGCTTGTGGGAAGAAATTACGACAAAAATCCCTGTGCAGATCCATGGATGAGTTATTTTCTGTTTCTTCAGATTTTTTGTTTTATTCATAGAGAAGGAAGAAAATGAAGTGGGGAATGACATAGTCATAGCATAGAATCATAGAATCATTTAGGTTGGAAAAGACCTTGAAGATCATTGAGTCCAGCCATAAATCTAACACTGCCAAGTCCACCACTAAACCACGTCCCTGAGCACTGCATCTACACGTCTGTTAAATACCTCCAGGGATGGTGACTCAGCCACTTCCCTGGGCAGCTTGTTCCAATGCTTGACAACCCTTTTTGTGAAGAAATTTTTCCTAATATCCAATCTAAATATCCCCTGGTGCAAGTTGAGGCCATTTCCTTTCATCCTATCGCATGTTACTTAGGAGAAGAGACCGACCCCCACCTCTTTACAACCTCCTTTCAGGTAGTTGTAGAGAGCAATAAGGTCTCCCCTCAGTCTTCTCTCCTCCAGAGCAAACAACCTCAGTTCCCTCAGCCCCTCCTCATAGGACTTGTTCTCCAGACCCTTCGCCAGCCTTGTTGCTCTTCTTTGGACACACTCCAGCACCGCAATATCTTCCTTGCAGTGAGGGGCTGATAATGCAATAGTTTAGGGAGTAGCAGCCATCTGAGCCATCTGAGGCCGAGGGACAGGGTGAATCTGGCACTGTGATCAGAAGAGTATGCAGGTCTACATAGTGCTGGACTTGGAAACTGAAGTTTGTCCTACTGACAGTCTGTCATTTTGCCTGTTGGCGGTGGGGACGGGAAGGGACACATTAGAAAGAAAATTTGAATATGGGTGTTAGTGCAAACAGTTACAAGAAGCTGTAACATGACTATTAGCTGAGGAGCTGGAATTTGCTTGTACCCTGTAAATAAAGCTTCTTCCCAGGTACTTGAGACTGACAAGAACAAGCTTGACATTGATGCTGTGTAGAGGAGCAGCATTATTTAACGAAGAAAGTCTTGTGAGGAGACTGGCGGTTATTCTTCGAGTGGGGCTCAGCTCACTTCCTTGTGTTATGCTGTATTCCCTTGAAAAAATAGTCCTGAATTAATGGCAGACTAAAGGAGAGTGGGTGGATGCAACATGGCTGGAGAGCAGTTCTCTGCCACGCTATCGTTTCATTTCTCTTCTTCTGGTTTCATACATTAGCTGTTGGAGGCACCTGATAGAGATAATACTCCAAGCAGCAAAACAAGATTCTCTATAGAAACCTTTTCCCTGTACTTGGCAGTCTGACTGAATCTCTCTGCAGTGATAATTAATCAACAAATATGCAGTTCAGGAGTCCTGTGAATTTGCATCAGCTCAGTCTCGAATGGCTCCTGGGAGGACAATCCTTAACCTACTTTCAGCACCAATTTGATTTGATGCTGTTGTGTGTAATCTGCAGTTACAGTTTATTATCCCATCTCCACTACATGTGGTAGGAAGCAGTCTTGTGGTAATGCAGTGCTCTGATATGGCTGGGGTTCCAGCACAGATACACTCTGATATTGTACAGTCTTCCCTCAAAATATGTTGGATAAGGAGGTGCCAGTCCCCTGTTAATAGTGAACATTGGCAGCAGTAATTTTATTTTCTTGTCCATCTGTGTGAAACGTGTGAATTCAGTGGGCAGAGGAAGGATCATGTTTGCGCCTTCTCTGCTGGTAGGCTCAACCTGTGCTGCTGCTTATTGCAGGTGCTGCTAACATATCTGGGGGGAAGAACACGCTGGCAACTGTGGAGTCTGCTGTCATCCATCACCCTGCTGGAGCCCCATCAATGCAAGTCAGCCTGCATGGTATGAAACGCAACGTGTCGGATCTGCGGCTGCAGCTGCATCAGATGAAGCAGCTACAGGTATGCTTATCTGAGTAATGCTGGGAAAGGGGATTGTCAGCAAATGCCCTTTTCCTTTCTTACTTTCTCTCTTGCTCTCTCTTTTACCTGCTGTACATGAGTGATTCTCAGTAGCAGAGTTCTAGCAAAGGGAAAACCAAAGTTTCACAGACACAAAAGCATATTCTGCTGTAGCATACACCACTTGCATAGTCCTAGAGGTATGAGAATTAGCTCAGTTTAACTACCGCTGCTCAGATATTGAGAAAAAAACTTCATCTCTAGCTTTGTTTGATGACTCTAGGCATTAAAGCAGTATTTATATTACAATAATATCAAGTCTGTGATTACAATTTGGACCCTGCTATGCTATGTGCTGGATAAACATGTTGGAAGAGCCATGTTCCTCCTCCATACTGTTTACATTTGAGACAGTTTTTAGATTCCTGAATAAACAACTTTGATGTCAAGAAACCCAAATGTAGCTGAGATTCAGTAGCTATGCATTAAGAGGGAGTTTGAGTCCTGTATTTGCAGAATCCAGAAGAATAGCCAACGTGAGCAGCAAGGAAGAAAGATATTTCAAAAGTTGCTGCAAAGGTTTGTTGTACCCTACTTACATTCACATTTTACCAGTACCTTCCTAACACACATCAACACCTCAAAACCTGCAAGAAAATAAGAACAATGAAGAGTTAACCAAAGTGTTCTGTTGACACATACCACCACACTGCAAATGTAAATATATGCTGTTCATCTCAGACACCGTGACAGTAAGCTTACGCAGCTGTACGGGTCTTCAGCCCTTCACTTAATTGGAAACTGAAGAGCACTGTCTATTGTCTCAGAAGATGTAAAGGGAGGTAAAGCAATTTCTTGTAATACAAAGTGGACAACAGGGGAAACTTCAATACTCTGCCAGTCCTCCTTGCCTGGAAAGTGACATCATGTGTTTGGTATTATAGGGCTGCAGCTACTGCTGTTATGACCAGGGTGGTTTTGGATACAGGAATCTCCTCTGATTTCCTCTTTAGTTTTAGAACAGAATAATGATAATACAGATCAGAATTCAGAACATGTTTTGCCTTCACTTCATTAACTACAGGAAATTGAATTATGAACCAGTCACAGGGCAAGGGAGCAGAAGGGTGAGGTAAACATCAGGGTAAAGAAAACGTGGCCAAGACTGAAGATGCTGTGACAAGGTCCTGTGCTCAGTTTGCTGATAATGAAGAGGTGGCAGAAGGTATTTGGAGCAAACAGTTGTGTCAGCCAGGTGACCTCTGCTTGTGATACAGTATCCATGTATTTACATTTCCAGTTTAGGGTGAGTATGGTCCTATAGCAAATGTATCTTTCAGAAAACTGTTCCCAGCAGTGCTGCCTACATGCCAGCCATGATGGTCCCCATCTAATTTCAAGACTCTGGCTTGGGCTCTCTGCCCTGGCACTTTATCTATAAATACGTGTTCTTCCACATTTGTGCTGCAAACCACTGCAGTCCCTCTGTCCTTCTGCAATTCCATGTGCCAAATGGAGCTCTTGGCAAACGCCTGCAGTCTGGCCATTAGCTGTGCTTAACATGTGGCCTCATCAAGTGGGATGGAGGTTGCAGTGCTGTGCTGGAGCGCGTCACTCGCGCAGGGCCTGCTTACTGAGGAGGTGGCATTTCCCCAGCTGCACCTGGTCTCCACAGCCCTGCGCTGGGGCGTAACCTTTCCTTTGATCAAATACAGCATTATGGCCCATAGGAGTGAAGAAACTTATATCATCTGCCAAGGAAGTCTTGAGAAGGAAAAAAAGGACATATCCCAAATGTGCTCGTTAACTCTGGCTGGCTTCCCTTATATCAGAAATGATAGCAAATTCGGTGCATTGTGCCAGTAAGGAAGGGGGCAAATTTGTGATAGTCGGATGGAAGAACCTGTAGCTCAAGGGAAACTTCGGTTTATTACATATAAATTACATTCATGAGAGTGAGTTTTTGTTGTGGCTGTCCTGAGTGGGTGGAATTATTTTCAAAAAGAGCTCACAGTTTGTAGGGCAGCAAGTGAAACAGGTAGTGTTTTAAACTGAAGAGTGTTGAAATATCACACTTCAAATGAAAAAATTTTGCGCTGTGTTTTTTGGAAAATGATTCTAAGTAAAAGGGATAAGTATTTTTCTGTTTTTCCAGGTTGTTTGCATAATGTGTTTGACAGTACTTCATGTTTTTCACTTTCACTGTTTCTCCTGGGTTAGCAGTCAGTTTGTTCCTGTTTGTGTGAATTTTTCATACAGTGACAGACTAAAAGAAACGCTTCCAAAGAACTGAAAAAGATGGTTGCATGGGCACAAAAGTTGGCAGGATAACTAAGAAATAGAAACAGGACATAGAACTGCATTTAGTACTGTCTGTGGTTCAGTTTTCAATCAATGATGTCACTTTAAGCTCTTGCTCATTTCTTAATAGAATCAGAGAAACACATGACAAAAAAGATCCATTCATTCATGTAGCCTTTGTGCCAGCAAAATCCTGTTTTTAAAACATATCCAGCAGCAATTGATCCAGATGTATTGATTCACACACCAGTTCAATGCATAGGTTACCAGATGCAATCAGAAAGTTAAGACTGGTCAGTCAGTGGTTGGATTTTAACCAGAGATTCTTGAAATAAAAAGATTTCCATCATGGCTTTTGCTAGAGGTTAGGTACAATTCTTGCTACTCCACTAGCATCTTCCTTAAGTTCTTTGATTGTCAGAGATACTCAACAAAGACTAGATTCATGGTGTCGTTGAGTTTTTGTGATTGCCAGAGACAGGCTATAGCTCAGCCTGTGTCCTGAATGCATTTGTTTTTGGTGAGACTGGAGCCCATGAGTTCAGTGGGGTTGTTCTTTCTGCTCTCCCAGGTAATGAGAACTCTTAGTGGCAGGTTTGAACCAAGCCTTAGAGTCTGTGGTCACGGTATGTATCATTAGCTTATATGTACATTGGATTTTTTTTGTCTATTCCTTCCTTTCTTTAATTGAATACATTTTAAGAGAAAGCAGTGAGATGTGATTAAGGTTCAATGTTAGGAATGTGTGTGCATGCATGCTTTTCTTTCACTCAGTGTATTATTTGCAGGGAAATGAGTGCTGCGGAAAGGATAGAAAATGTAATAACAACACTGTCATAAGTGGTATACGATACTTGGTCTCACAAGTGTAACTTTGAATTAGCAATTCAAATATGTTTTGAGCTGCATTATAGAATTGGTGAGACTACGTTTAATCTATGCGTGGTAACAAACTTCAGGAATTAGATAATTAGATTCTACAGAGATCCTGAGCTGCAGGCAGTCAACCCCTGCTCATGGCTGTGCATTGCAGTGTGTGGGGAGGTGGGTGGCCCAGAAGCCTCTCCCAGCAGGGCCTGGGAGGCTCCCGCTGGATAGGTCGTGCCCATCTCCTAATGAGAAGCAGGACTGTGAACTAATACTTGGTTTTCCAGTTACCTGTCTCATAGATAATAATTGGTTCGAAGTGAACTAAACTGATTGTCAGATTATTCTTGAAGTGGGCACAAAAGGCGGTGCTGGGGTACTTGTAAGACAGCAGTGATAGATAGGGCTGGAGCAGCAGCCAAAGAACAGGGACAAGGTAGGTACCTGGAGAGATTGGTGAGGCTGGGAGTGAGGGCCAAGGGTGTGAATGTAGGAGAGGATGCTAGAATTCTAAAAAAGCATGTTAAATTTCTTTCTGTTTGATTGCTGCTTGCAGTTAGAAGTCAAGTTAACTCTAATTAGCAAGAAATTGCCATTTGGTGGTGACAGGAAAGCCTGCATTGCTTTTCCTTACATTTGGGCCCGTGACTTCGGAACTTGAATACCGTTTTGACAAAGTTGCCTTTCAAGTGTGAATGTCTAAGATTGTTTATTTGGCTTGTTTTCAAGCAAATTTAAAGTACAATAAGTTCTGCTCTGTGGAACCAGAATAACTCTGGCTTATCCATAAAATTTCTTCTACTTGAGAGGGTAGAGTAACTGGCAGAGGTGATCTGAGGGACAAATGGGGTGTGGACTTAGCCAGGGAGTCTCAGATCTGATACCTGCTGGCAGAAGAAAGGTAAGAATCAAGTTCAGTTCGTGAACGTGGAGATAAATGTACTGTAGCGGCCAGAGACTACCTCCTCTTCCTCACCCACAGCTCTCCCCCTTTGCTCCTGCTCGTCCTGCCTCATGTTGTCCTTTGGCTGGTGACTGCCCTGCTTAAACCCACAATTACTCCTCTCCACAGGTTCCTTCTCTTCTCTCTCTGCACCCATCTGTACCTTTCCCTTCTCATTTTCTGTCCCTGTTCCCCAAGGATGAACAAAACCAGGTTTTCCAGAATTAGCCAAGTGTTGCACGAATTTTCATACAAATGGCAAAACCATCTCTTTGATACCAAGATGAGTCATTTCACAGCCTTCAGGAGCTCACTCCAATCACTGAGGTTTGGGAGTCCTCAACATACAAGCTTTTTGAAATGTTGCTGAGTTATGTTTTCATTCCCTAATCTTGTTATCAGAAATGGATGAACTTTTATGACTGAAACTTTCTGTTCAAGTGCTGCATAAATGGAATTGAGAAGCATCTTAGCTGTGGGCACCACAATAAATATAGAATCCCCTATATACCCCCATAATAGGAAAAAAATGCACCTGCCATTGCACAAGCTCACACACAGATATACTCAATTTTGGTATTACTGGGGGTCGCTGTTACCAGCTGAGGAGCACAGAGGACTTAAATTCTGGACACCTGAGACTTAAGTCTGACTCTGTTACTGACCTTCTCACTGGCCTTGGATCAGCTGTTTCACATTTCCAAAGACGCTCCCCTGTGTCAGATTTCCCCACTTTTTAAAGACCTGTGAATAAACTATGACTAAAGTGTTACATGCTCATTCACTCATTTATTCATTCATTTATGTTTTTCTTCTTGAAAATATTGCACAATGTGAGAGATGTGTGTCTCAGATAGGTGTGCTCGCCTCGCTGCAAGAGGTTTTAATTTATCAGACCCAAACCTTAATCCCATAGTGGGGAAAAATACACATATGCACTGTCTTCAAAAGAATCCAGTCTGGTATAAAGCAGCTGACAATGTATATAAATTTGTGCTGTTTCAAATGTTTTACAGCTTCATTTTTTTCCCTAACTACTGACACTCACCTTCAGCTGAGTTTTGAGCTAACACCTCCTGCTCGGCACAGCTCAGACCCACCCCTCCCATGCACTTTCAGTGAAGTGTTACCCTCCCTCTCATCACAGTTGTGTCGCTAGGGAAGGCAGAGTCAGGCACAGGGACTGAAGAGTTGGAAGGGGAGAGAGGAGTTTGTTGCTCTAATTCCTGTACTGATTGGAAAGAATGACCTGGGCAAAGGCACTTTTTTCTCTGATTCCCGTGAATTCTCTTAAATCAACTTAAAAAGAAGTCTTCTTGCATTATACTGTCTTGTAGGTAACCCATTTTGGTGATTCTTCCTATTGGGCAGTGGATTTAATTTCTACGTCAAATGTGATTTGGCTGTTAAGCCTGGATGTTTAGAAGACAGCTGACAGTTCGATCGCTAGTTTTAAAACTGGAACTTTGTCTCCCAATTGATACAGATGTTTTTTAAAATCTTACAGTAGGAGAAGACGGCTGGGCTAACAAGAGTTGTGTTCATGTTGCTTATATCCTAAAGCTGTGACTAGATGGAGCCCTGCTTATCACTTTGAATCTTCTGATTTGTGTAAGACACTTCAACAGACTTGGTTTGTGTGAGTGTGGGGCCTAGCTGCTCTAGGGCTACCCACAGAAGAGTACAGTCTAGTTTGCTTTCTTAGCTGTGTTTTGCTCTGCAAACTTAATATCAAGAAGAAAATTAATGCTTTAAATACTTCACATAAGGCTAAGAAAAGAAAGAAAGTGTGACTTTTACAGTGCTCAGAAAATTACCATATTATAAAGGGGTTTTTCTTGATGGGTAAGGGAGGTTTTATGTATTGCAGATGAGCTGCATGTCTGTACCAAATTACACCAGATGGCACAACCCTTCCTCTGCCACTTGAGAGACTGAAAAATTCCATTCCGAGAGCAGGAGTGCATTCCAGCCTTGTCCTTAATGCGTGGGATTATCCACCAGGCATGTATGGGCAGTGCGCTGCATGAGCTTACGAGATATGTGCAAAGTGGAAGTCAAGCTTCCGGCGTTCTTATGAGGCATGATTGATTCTTGATTCATGCTGGACTGAGCAGAATAAAGGGGTCACAATCCTTGCCAAAGTTATGCACCGAAGGTGGTGTACTGATCCCAACATCTTTTGTTCGTCAGCTCACAACTGGAAGTCAGATATACACGTTAGAAGTTAGTCAGACTCAGGCGTTTCTCACCCCCAACACTTACCTCGTGGAATAAGGTTTATAGGTAAAGTTAAAGAGGGAAAGAAGAAGGTAAAAACTCTCTCTCGCTGTAGGGCTGTGTTTATCCCAACCTATTTCTGAGCTCTGCAATGTATTCTGTTGCCAGGGATGTCAGTCAAGCAGGAAAAATTGATTTCTTTTGTGCAACAGCTGCAGAACCAGGAGATGCTAAGGGCAATGGTGAAGAAAGCAGAGCTGGAAATCAATGGCAAAATGATCGAAACAGTGAAGAGGCTGGAAGATCCTGTGCAGCGACAGCGCAACCTGGTGGAACAAGAAAGGCAGAAATACCTCAACGAAGAAGAGAAGATTGTGAAGAAGTTATGGTGGGTTGAGAAACCTCTTAGAATTTGTTGCTTTTGCCTGGCTTTTTCTTCCATAAAGTAGTAGCTTTAGTGAAAATTTAGTTTACTAAATCTTTAAACTTAAAGCTAGTAAAACTTTAGTGAAACTGCACCTGTGTATGCTGTTTTAGCTGTGTTTCTTTGTACTCATATTGGCTGTAAAACTGTGTCTGTGTCGTACAAATCACTGGTCCTGACTGGGAGTCCTTCTAAGCACAGCCCACTGGGTAAGTCCCACCAGTACAAAGAGTTTCAGCCTCTGCAGAAGTCCCCTGTGAAGGGAAGATGACTGTGAGGACCATGACGACCTCCATCTTCTGAAAGCATCCCTCCACCCTAGTTCTCCCCTTCAGCTTTATGTATTACGCTTTAGGGAAGGAGGAAGGAATTTCCTCACAAACAAATGGATGCAAAGGAAAGTAATGAGTTTGTCTTTAAGTGTGAAAATCAGATTTCAATAGTAAGTGCTTTGGCTGTTGAACGGGAGAGGTAGGGGAAGCTCATAAATAGAGAACTGAAGTTGACTTACAATCAGCAGTGCGAGTCTCCATCTAAAATTTACTTGCTGGGATTTCCATACACTTAAATGCAGGTAAAAATACTTTTGGTTTTTTGGTTGTTGTGTAAATGCTCTTTGTAAGACTCTCTTTTTCCCCAAAACTTTGGCCTACCAAGACTGGTGGGTCAGTTGTTTGTTTCAGTCTATGTTCAGTCATCAGGAGGCAAGATGAAGCAGAAATCAATAAACAATTTAACTAGTTCTAACACTCACATTCATAAGACACTATATAACTAATTATTTCTCCTTACTGCATTTAGTTCACACCTCAAGAACTGCTCGATAATAGAGTGAAACTTTATAGTCAGCTTGGCATTGGAAATTATGATTGAAGAGCCATAGGAGTACAGTTATTGACAGCTAAGGAAAGTAAAACTTTCCTGTTGATCAATGTGTTGTCAGATGTGTAAGATTTGTGATAAAAATGGTTCATCTGTAAAGACAAACTGGAATGTTACTAAAGGAGTGTGTGTTTTCTCTGAAGAAAAGTTTAATGTGTACTAATAGTCCATGCTGGTGTATCTAATCTGCTCAGCTGGTTTGTAGTCTTGAATAATGTTGTGTTGTCTTACGTAATTACCCTCCTGTTCATCACTTTATTGCTGTGTACCTCATTGCCTAGTTTCTAGATTGTTTGTTCTCTGCGGAAAGGAAAATTTGTGTGATGGCTGTTTGTCGCGTTGCCTTATAAAATGGAAACTGTGTGAGGTCAAGCGCAAATGGCATTTGTTGTTAGATGTTGTTAGAGCTGTTAATTTAGGATACGACTTTGGTTGCAATATGGTTCTAGTTTATCACTGTTTGGCATTTTTTCTTTTCACAGAGTTTCCGCTGCTTCTGTGGTACTTCATTTGTTAATGTTACAGAAAACTGTCCTGCTTAGATAATTCATAGGCTCTAAATGTTAGTTCAGCCCTTCTAGAGACATCTAGAAACAAACATTAAATCACAAACAATTATTTTTCCTCAGTTGTCTCCAATGAGATTTCCTTGTCATATATTTGCACGTCTGTGGGATCAAAGCCCCCCCAAAAAAGCACATCTGACAACAATGCTGTAAGTTCAACAGCTGATGGCTATTAATAACGAACAGCATACATCACAAAATCAGACAACAAATGTCACTGGCAGTATTCAGAAAAAGGTTAACATTCCATATAGGCACTTTCAATTAAGCTGATCCCAGTGCAGATGCATAAACAAATGCAAAGCAACAGGGCAGAATAATTATCATTTCTTAGTCTTTCGACTGTTGCCCTCTTGACTTTTCCTGAATCATAGGACTAAATCAGTAGGCTGGCTTCATGCAAGACAAGGTATCTTAAGAATTTCTGCAATACTTACAAAAGTATGTTTACTACTCTGAAGTGGTAAATCTCAGCTTAAAAATCTCTCCCTTCTGCAATTCTGAAGATTATCGCTGGGAAATAAAAAAATAAATGTATTGGCTGTTTCATGTTCTAAGCAGCAGAAATGTTGGTGTACATTTCAGAGCAAGTTTTCTGTTGATCAGCTGTTCATGATGGTGCCTACAGAAGTGTGGCCATGTGTGTCACAGCTGTAGCAGGATTACAATTCAGAGATATCTAATGAAATCTAAGGAACACTTAAACGTAGTGTTTGTTCACACTTGTAACAGTGAAATACATACTCAGAATTAACTGGGTATGTTTTTTTCTAACTAGTCTTTTGATCCAACATGAGAGATGTCATATGTGACACTTTTGGGGTTGTAGATAGACTAGCCTTAAAATTTACCATACCAAGGACAAATTACAATGATATGACACATTGACTAGTGAATAATTATGTTGTGAGGAGTATGCTACAGGTATGTCTACTATAGGTTGTAGATTCTTGTAAGCATTTTAATAGAGGGGGTTTTGTAAGCACAGTATTTAAATTGTAGCAGTCTTGGAGAGCCACTGGTAGCAGATACTTGGGGAAGGCAAGGATACATGGCAAAATGCTCAGAGCATATCTCCTTGCTTTTAATGACTTGTAGCTCAGGGATTTTCCAAGTCAGAGATGGTATCTTCATGTGCAAAAACTATGCACGGATTGTTTACTTTTCATGAACATGCATTTTTTAAAAATTGTGTAAACTTTGTTGAGTATAGCATCTAGGTGCAGTGAGTTCCACAGAGTCATTCTTATTTGGGTAGAAAGAAACTAGTTTTTTGTTGTTTTTGAATCTTTCATGTGTCAATCAATCCCCAAACTCTTAAAATGTGCACGGCAGAATATTCACCCTTTCCATGCTAGTTGCAATGTTACAGACGCTCCCCTACTCCGTTTTGTGATCATGCCTTTTCCAGCCGGAAAAGTCCTGGTCTGCTTAGTTACTCCTCTTGTAGAAGTCATTCTGTACATTTTGTCAGCCTATTGACTTTCTGCATGCCCTTTCTAACTGTAACGTATCTGTGAGATGGGAATGGGGAGAGAGGAGAGCCCTGCAATGGCTGTATCTGCTGTAGGCATGCCATGACTTCATGCAGTGGCGTGGTGATCATTCCCCTGTCCTCATGTTCAACGTGAGCTTTCCATTACAATTCCCACATCTCACAACGGTTGATTATCAGTTCAAAGTTCATTACTGTGTATAAAAACTTTGGGTTTAGGTGGGGTTGTTTTTGTTTTTACTTTTCCTCTTCACATGAGCATTACTTTACATTTATTAGAAGTTAATTTAATCTTCGGTTTCTTCCTAGTCAATTAGTATCTGGTGGTCCATGTGCAGGCCTCAGCAGTCACAATTCATTTTCATTCCCCTGAATAATTTAATAACCTTTTGAGATTTATTATACTATTAATCTTCTTTTCTAAATAATTTATAATATGTTGAAAAGCACCAGCCCTAGCACTGATCCCTGTGGAACCCACCAGCAAACTACATTCACTGAGTAAGCTGTTCATTGATCCCTTCCCTTTACTTCCAGTACTTTATCGATGAGAGTTTCCTCTCTTGTCCCATGGCAACTTTGCTTTCTTGAAAGTCTTTGATCAAATACCTACTGAAAGCCTTTCGGACTATAGCTTTTCCCCATGCTTTTGTTGTTTCCTTGTGTATTGGTGAGGCTTACCTTCTCCTTACACAAATCACATTAATTCCTACCTAACACAGCATATTTATCCATTGATCCACTAATACTTTATTCGTTATTCTTTATTTTGGTATCTATCAATTATACCAGTCTAGGTGTTCGTCTCACTAGAGTACAATTCCCTGGATAGCTCCATCCCCTTTAAAAAAATTTATTTGTATCATCTATGACACTTTCCAGTACTCTGGTGGCAAAGCAATGTTAATCAAGAAGTTAGATGCTTAACACTAATACTCCGACTGTTTCACCCTTGAGTTGCTATTGAACTCCAGGGCAAATGCCATCTGGCCTGGGTGATTTGTTGCTATTAATTTGGTCAATTCATTTTGTAACCTGTTCTACTGATACTGCAATCTGAGACAGATCCTCTGATGCTTTTTTGCCGAAAGAAAGATCTCAGTGTGAGAGTCTGCCTCGGCTCCGCTGTGTAAAACATAGGTGCAGAAAAAGAACTTATCTTGTGTTACCCTTCTGAAACTGCATTAAGGTGAGTGTCTTGTTTAACTGAGTTTGCTCAGTCCAATCTATAAAGCCAAGTTGTTTCCCCAGTTACAGAAAAGAAGTGCTGGAGACCGCTGGATCTGTTTCAAACTTCAGCTCCCGAGGGATGAAGTTTCTTTTTCCTTGCAGTTAGCAACAAGAGGCAGTGTAATACGGTATCCCCTGAATAGTTTCAGAATCAGTCGTCTTGTTTGATAGTATCACTGTGTGGAATCAAAGGGGTTTGTGATGACCCTTCCATTTCTGTTCAAAGAACAAAGGGGAGAGCAAGCCATTGTCTGCTACATGAAAGTCTTTCCTTTATCCCTACATTTTCAACAAGCAGAAACCTACCAAAACATTGTAACGTTGTTCTGTCTTTGTTCCTTTCTCTTCTTTCCACCCATGAACAAATTTAAGCTTCTACCCTTATCTTCCTTGTTGCCTGTTGGACACCAGCATCTGAGGACCTGCTTTTCCAGTGCTGATCTACAAAAGGGGGTTGGGGCTGGGGGGGTTACCCTGTGGTTCCCAAAGCATCCCTGCCTAGCCTGAGTGCTGGCATCAGGGCACTGAGGACAGGGAGGACACGGGGCTGGAGAACACGCACTGGTCTGGAGGGCAGGAGCCTTTGCCCTGTAGTGAGTGACAGAAAGCCAGATTCTTTTTCCAGCTCCTTCCTAGCCTGTATCAGTGCCCTTTGTTGCAGACACACAGCAGATAGGTGCATTACTGGAGCCTCTTCCACTGGAAAAATTCCCCGAGAAGTGTTCCCTTGCTGCCATCGTGTGGCCCCTTGGATTGTGTCCTGCAAGTATGCTTATGCTGCTGGGAACCATGGCTTCCCCAGTCCTTCTCAAGGCAGAGTCTTTGGGAGAAGTGGTCTTAAACTGTGAACAGGATCATTTATCTCCACTTGTTTATGATCTGTTCAGAAGCAGCTTATGCCTCTTAGTTCAAAATTGTTTTATAGTTTCTAAAGTCCTTAGTCTTTGGATTGAAATGAACTCTGTGCTGGGTGCACTTGGTATTCAGATCATGATACTATTTCTGTTTCTCTATATATCCGAAGTACTATTGTATTGCCATTTATTGTTCTGTGTGTGACTGTGCTTCCACTTTAAGTCGACCTAAATGCAGAATGGTGCTGTGAGGGATTTTGTGCTTTTTATCCCGTTACTGTCTACCTACTCCACTCTTTTCCTCCTCATGTCGCCTGTCCACGGAGATGCATCTAGGAAGTGGCCTGGCTGAAAATGAAGTAATTTTCTGCTGGATTTGCATGGTAGTGCTGGCACAAGGGAAATGTGTGGAAATGCAAGACCTTTGGATGGTGCAGGAGGCAATCTTCCCCTGCTCCTTTTCAGGCAATCAGCCCGTATCTTGGCTCTCTTACAGCAACTGCAGAACTGCTGCCTGAGTGGATACGAGAAATGAGGCCCAAAGTTAGGTTAAAATGAGTAGCCGATTTGTCAGCTCAGAGTTCGCTTTGCATTGGTTTCTCCCATGCAATTAAGCTGCTTCTCAGAATATTCCTGTCAGTGAATTTGGTATCTCAAAAGAGGCAGATTTCTCTTAGAATAAATATTCAGGATATGAGCCTTTTTAAGGTATTTGTATGGGTGTTTTTATAGTTGCCTATAATGCATTTCAGGATTTTTTGAGAAATTTCTAAGCTTCTGAGTGGAAACTACAGCTAAAGCAATGCGATCTCAACCTTAATTGGAAAAAAGGGGCTCCCTCCAAAACAAAAATGAAGTTTATGTGTCTGAAGTATTGTGAAAATTTATGTGAAGTGTGGAAGCACTGGAAAAAATATTAGGAAAGGTGATGAGGAAGCACCAGATGGAGCCGGAGAAAGCACAGGATAGCACTGGTTGGAAGAAACGTCTGAAGTGATTCTTTCTTGAATCCAAATGCTGAGCGAGAGCTGCACACAGTGCACACTTGCTGTTTCAGTCTGGCTGTTTGCGGAAACAAGACACTGTATCCTGTCTAGCAGGACCCGCAGATTAACAGGGTTACATCGACGGGCCATTAGTGCCAGTTTTGGGGTTGTTACTTCACTGTCGGGCATTTGTTTGCATGCCATCAGCAACAAGAAAGTGCAAGGTGCAAACTAGTACTGGATGTAGTGGTACAGTGTGTCTGTACCCTTCTAGGATTTGCATCCCAGAGGGCTGGCTGTCAGATGTGTTTCACCACCCCACCAGCCTGGAGGACAATATGCCCTGCACATCTGCAGCCTGTCAGAGAAAGCAAGGGCTTGGGCTAGTTACAAGCCTGTTCTTATGCTGTGAGCCTGAGTGTCCAGCAGCCTCACCTCCCCGCATGGTACCCTGCTGTTTTTTCAGCCTGTGGTGTCAAATTTAAAGATGCCACAGGTGAGCTTTCTGGTTTAGTTTAGTCCGTTCATTTACTTACATTTGATTATAATGTGAAAGTCCTGCTTACATTCTATGTCCACTTCTTTTGTTTTGCCAGTGAGCTGGAGGCATTTGTTGAAGACCTGAAGAGGGACTCCACTGCTTCCAGCAAGACAGTTACACTGAAAGATGTTGAAGATGGAGCCTTTCTTTTGCGTCAAGTGGGAGAAGCTGTTGCCACCCTAAAAGGTATGTATGTTTGCTTTTTATTTTTGGTTCTTCACTTTTAACCACAGTGGCTGAGAACAGTTTTGCCTTTGATCTGGGAGCATTAACTTTCACCTCCAAAAAAATTTAAAGTTGGTATTAAGCAGCTTGTTGCATGGCCCCTGGAGAGAGGCAGACACTCGACTATTTAACATTCATCCTGTCATCTGTTTCTCCCCACGACTTTTATAATTGCCTCTTGAGCTTCAAAGTTGTTATCTTTGCAGGAGAGTTCCCAACATTGCAGAATAAAATGCGTGCAATCCTCCGGATTGAGGTAGAAGCCGTGAGATTCCTAAAGGAAGAACCACACAAGCTAGACAGCTTGCTGAAACGTGTACGCAGCATGACCGATATCCTTACCATCCTCAGGAGGTGAGGGGTTTTTTTCTTCCTTCAAAACTACAGAATTTCCTCAAGTAGGGCTGGAACAGATTTTGTGTTTGCCCCTCTCCCCAGGCAATTTTGCGAAATGGATCTTGCTTGCAGTATTTTATAGATTCTTCCTAGAGCCCTCTTAAGGGAGATCAGATTAGCCTTTCCTGTGCTCTGTGCAGTGGTTCTGTTCTGACCAACAGCCCCAGTCAATGAATTGAAGCTAGCTCCCTCTGAACTCAGCACTTCCCGATGTGGACGTACCTGGATGAGAAAGCTTACAGAGTGGCAGCAGTCCCATATCTGAGCTAATTAACTGTAGGCATTTACAGCAATCTAAGATAACAGAAATATTCTCTGGCACTGAAAAGTGCATTCTCAAAAATGTAACACTAAGAGAAAGATTCTAAGTGGATAAAGATATCCTAAACCTTCTGAAAGAAAGAAATACTAATTCTTGTGAATTAATGCAAATTCTTTATTTTGTTCTTTGCAAGGAAGTTGTGTTAGAGAGAGCTGAAGTATTAGATAAAAGTTGTGTCCACTAAGTGCCAGTGTTTAGCTATGTTTTTCAGAATATATGAGCAGTAGCTGACTGCTGATTTACATGAAGCAATAGGCATTGGATTTAATTCCTGCTAAAAAACAGTGAATCAGGCCAAACTGTCAGTGGTGGTGGTTTCAATTTTGCTTCGATTACAAGAAAATGTAAGTCATAAGCCTATTGTTGCTACCATTATTCTAAAGAATGTAGGGTTGTCATTGTTTCCGTATGTCCTGGAGCATATGTAAAACATATAAAAATCCAAGAAAGGATTTGCCAGTACTAGCAGATGGATAAAATGGTTTATGTAACAGGTCTTCTAAGAGTCATCACTTACTTTTCCATGTAGGTAAACATCTCATATTAGTTATGGTAACATTTCATATTAGTTTCCTTTACTTAAAAATGACTCGTTATTTCCTGTATCACTCTGGGGGAAAAAACAATAAGCTATACATGCCAAAATTTTACCAAAAGTAATTTTTTGCAGCGAAATTATGTATTAAGCCTTATAAATTTTATTTCAGTAATGGAAAAACTGATGGCATTTGATGGCTAACTACACTCCGAAGCTCAGCCATTTCACAGCTAGCTGTCAGAAATAGTTGACTCTTTACATCCTCAGCTCATTCTACTCCAGACTCTTCATCCAGGAACATGTTGTTTAGCTAGATACAGTGTATAAACTTCAGATCAACTGATCTCCATTCTCCCCTTAAAATCAACCAGCTGTAACTCATGGTTTGGTCAAAAAGTGCCAGTATATCCATGAAGGTTTGTAAACATTGTAGAAGGCAAAACCGTCCTAATTAGAGTGGCCTCCTTAAAACTCTGAGTCCCTGATGCGGAGAGAAAGCCGTAGAATCACACAACTGAGAGCATCAGGATGAAAAAACACCATTTTGATGTTTTTGATATAGGTGCTTTTCCATTGCATAAGTTTATTGTTAAGTATTACTCATGACTCGCCTGTGTGCTAACCATGTGCCATGTTGTTGTGTTCCACTTGGCTGGGCAGACATGTTACAGAAGGACTGCTGAGGGGTGTGGATCCATCCCAAGCCCTGCAATACTCTGCTATGGAAAAGGCCACAGCAGCTGATGCTCTGAAAAACCAGGAGGAGCTCAAGCAAAACCTTACAGCAATCACATCAGAGTCCCAGGTGTCATCAGTCAAGTCAGAAGTTGTTCCCTTCTCAACAATGACGGTCCATCACGTGCAGAGCTCGCCTGTTGTCATCCATCAGTCTCAGCATTCATCAGCTCTGGTCAACCATGCTCAGGGTTCACCCACTGCAGCCAGCCACAGTGAAGGTGGGCCGGCAGGTAGCCACCTCGCAGCCACCCTACCAGCCCCCCCGCAAGAGCCCGCAGGAGGATCCCAGTCCACACAAACCATGCCAGCACCACAGATCTCTGTCAATGGCACCACCATGCAAAGTCTTTTCATTGAGGAAATTCATAGTGCAAGTACCAGAAACCGAGCTGTATCAATTGAGGTACGGTGTATTCTACTCAACCAGTGGTCCTCTCTTGGGGTCTGAGCAACCAGTCTCACGCTAGAGACTGCAGGTGGGGTTTTTCAAATGCATTCTGGGGATTTATATGCTTAACCCCTAACTACACCATGAACTTCTGAAGATACCCTCTGATTTTAAATGCAGCAGCATAGTAACATGTAACCAAAATGAGTAACTATGGTATCTAAATAACCTCTATTTAAAAAAATATTCTGTTAGAATACCTTATTTTTGAACAATAACATATGATTCTCTGGCAACACTTGTGTCAGTGGATTTCGTTGACTCTGTAAATCTCCATAAAATATCCATATCATATTGAGAAAACCCACAAGTGAAGTCTCATGTCTTACTACAGACATGCACTTTAATCACCAGTGCAATATAGTACAGCAGTGATCCAGATTTAAATTTTGCCTTTGGTCCTTTAGTGAGCAGTGGCCACTGTCAGTTTGTCGTGTGTTTGTGCCATATCTAGCACAATGGAAGTCAGAAACAGTGTACAATTAGTGTTAATATGTTTCCTCTAGTTGCTGACTAGAACTGAAAGAGTCTATCCATATTGACTCATAATGTTGAAACATGGATTTTTTTTTAGTGATCGTAGCAGAAATCAGAGAAATAAATAGACGTTTTACTGTTTTTGTCTAGAAAGCTGAAAAGAAATGGGAAGAGAAAAGACAAAACCTTGATCACTACAACGGAAAGGAATTTGAAAAGCTCTTGGAGGAGGCCCAGGCCAATATAATGAAGTCAATTCCAAACCTGGAGATGCCTCCCCAGCCAGCAGCCCTGCCTAAAGGGGATGCAGTGGAAAAGCTAGAAGTTTCGGGTAAGGTTTGCTAGAGTAAATGGTGCTGAAGAATTGCATATCTGGAAAAGCGAGGTTATTCTTCCTGCTTTCTAGAAAGGGTTCAATTTACAGATTGCTGTGTTCTTGATCATACCTGTGAGTATGTCCCTGAGGAATAATGCAGGTTCTGTGGACAGGATGCAGGGATTTTGCAGATGCCAGTGTGAAGTAACTAGCTGAACACAAATTTCCCTGTATTACAACTGAGGGAGTGAGTTTGTCCTCTGGAGATAAAGAGTGCTCATGAGCAGGAGAGTAAGAGTATACCTTGCTTTTGACAGAGATGAGTATCTGCATACTATATTATATCTATATCTAGTATACTGCGTTCAGTTTTGCACTTACAAGTTTAGCATTACAGGGAGCTCTGGAAAGAACCACAGAGAGTTTGAGCACAACTGATCTTACCATCAGAAACCTAAGAATCTCTTTTTGTAGACATGTTTGTTATCAAAAGAAGATCAAGACATGCCTGAGGTTTCTTGGAGCAAGAAAGGCTTTTAACTTTGCAGAACATATTCTCACAAGTGCTATCAATTGGAAGCTGAAGCTAGAAAAAGCCACATAAAAAATCAGCTGTCAAATTTTAACATTTAGAGTAAGTAATCACTGAAGTTCAGTTATGAGCATGTAGGATTCTCTGCCACTTCAAATCTTTAAGGAATGCTATGTTTCTTTCTGAAAGGCTGCTCAGGCGTAAGCTCTGTGCATAATGCAAGACCCGCTTAAAGAAATCCTTGAACCTACATTAAGTGGAAAGTCAGACTATTTGATCTTAATGATCTTTGCTAGCTTCAGAATCTTAAACTATAAATACAACCAGTGTTTTGGATGAGTCCCTCAGAGGTCTGAAGATGATCTGTGATGCTACCTAACTGAGTTGTCTTGGGGAAGTGGACAGATATGTAGGAATGAATGAGAGTGACTTTCACAGTAAGCATTCTGGCTGTCCACAGCTATGCTGTAGATACACCGTGTTTCAAGTTGAATGTCAGTCAGACTGTAGACTATGACCCTGTAGCAAAAAAAGTCAAACATCATCATGAGACAAACAGGAATATCTACAAGACACATGAATCTGCTCAGCAGTGGTGAGCTTTTACATAGAAATTCCCAAACTCGATGTTTTGGACCTCAAGGAACGCTGAACAAATAGGAGAGAGTCAAAAGGACAGCGATAATAATGACTAGAGCTCTAAAAATGCATGATCTCTGGGGAACAAAAAAGAAAGAACTGGTTTTGTTTAGCATGAGGAAGTGAAGGCTGAGGAAGGACAAAGCAATCTCTGAATACATAAAAATCTGCTTAAAAAAGAAAAGACTAACTTGGTTTGTGTGGGTAGAGCAGCAGTAGAAGTTGGCAATTGCAGCCAGGAAGATCCAGGTTAGGTATTAGGGGAAAAACTCAAAACGATAAGGAAAGTGAAGCACTGAAGAAGGCTGTATGAGGCAATGAGGAGGAGGTAAGATCCCCCTAACTGGAGAGAATGGCTTAGACTAGCATAGATCAAGAATTATATAGGTAGAGCTACTCTGTGGTAGCAGCAATATGGGGTGTCCTTCCAGTCCTGTTTCTTTCACAGTTTAACATACAAATCCATGTCTGAGTTTCTTCAAAGTTCAAGGAACAAAGAAGATGCATCAGCCAAACCTTGGATTTACCTCATTAGCCAAACATGAGTCAGTTGCAAAATTCTTACCCAGCTACTTAAGCAATAGTCCATCTGGCTCAGCAGTCTGTCTCTGACAGAAGCAATGGGAGATACTGTCTGTGGGCAGCGCAGAACCTGGCCACATTCTGCAGTCTGCTAGCACTTCCCCAACTCCTCCAACTGTTATTAGAGGGAATATCCCAGCCTCCTCCTTTTCATATTCATTATGGACCTTTTATCCAGTCATTTCTCTATACCTGCTTATACCATTTGCCTCCCCACTGCTGTGGCAGCAATCTCCAGGAGCTCACTCCCCATCCTGTGAAGGAGCTTTTCTTTGCCAGCTTTAAAACGATCTAGTACCAGCTTCACTGAGTTCCCCATAGTTCTAATATTCTGCGATTTGGCAAACAGCAGCTCTGCATTCCCTTTGTAAAATCATGAAGGCAGTGGATAAACCTTGATCTCTGGAGGTCTCAGCCTGCCCTGAGGGCTCCAGACTGCAAACTTGCAGCCTTTCTGGTGCCTCCATCTACGACAGCTGCTCCCTCCCCAGGCTTGTTTGAGTTGCCCTTCTCTAATTCCACTGTGGCCTTCTGGAGCGATGGAGACCAGAGCTGCATGCTGCACTCAAGGTGTTGGCACACCAAGGTTGTAAATAGCTGCAGAACGATGGCCTGGGGCTTGCGTACACAAATTCATAAAGAATTTGGGAAGAGTGTTTTCAGATCCAGCATTTTGTTCTGGGTGCACCTTTAGCACTGACAAGTTGTGGCTGCTTGGATGTTTCACAACATTCAGGTTTAAAATAAATTCTGTTCAACTTCATAAAATAATTTTAGAATTCTGGCACCATTCAGTAAGGTTACTGGCTATCAACACAATTAACTTTTATAATGTGTGGAATAAATAGAAAATGTCAGTGAAAATAAATACCATATGGGTGCAGTGAGCTGTGACGTCTTTGAAAGTGCAGAACACAATAACAGAGAAGTTTTGTAACTCGCACAGTTAACTAATCCACTTCTAGATTACAATTTGCACAGTGTGTAGCCAGCCGATGTAAGGAGAAATTTGATGAGATTGAGACATTTGCCTTCTGTTGTGCATAATGAATCCTATAATAGTAACAGAAATAAGGGAACAGTGAAACTTTTCCTTAATATCTGATTATATATCTCACATGCCACTCAAGTCTTATATGACTCAGGATTAAAATTTCAGTATTAGTCTGCTGTAGACTAGAAAACTGAGCAACATAAGGAAAGAGAGACCACCTACCTATGAATATAGTGCATAAGACGTTTTGGCCATAAATTAGCAGAGACCTCTGTTGCCTTTGCTGCAGAACCCAGATAGATCACATTGCCAGAATATGTTGTCTCAGCCATTCTCCACACAGAACCCAATTAAGAAACACTTTTTCTTCCCCTGCAAAGCACAAAACAAAGTAAAATTATACACTTTACACAATTTTGCAGATGACTCTCTAAATACTGCTTTAATGTCTTGACTCTAACTCATCTTTGTTATCAAGATTGTTCAGTGAAAAGTATGGGTAATGTTTCTAGCGTGTACATTAGAAATTGGGCTCCTTCATGTCTCTTTGTGCCTTCATATGTAAGAATGCCTTGATTTTTGCAAGTGCTGAGTGATCAGTAGCTTCCACTAAAGACAGTTTGCTTATATGACTACAAAGGCTGCCTCAACACAGGCATTATTATTTTGAGGTCATTTTAAGACATGATGGATTTTTTTGGTGCAAGTAGAAATTTGTATGGTGGGGGAAATCAATTCCAGTCTGGCTGTGCCTGTTGAAGAATGCTTCAGTTCAGTGAAGTGGCTAGTAAAGAACAACTCCCATTTTGTTCACAGAAGCACTGAGCCCTTTGGCACCAAACAAGGTTCCATAAAGTAGCATTTTTGATCATGATTAGTCTCCAACTGAGTGGATTGTACTTGGCCATTTACTCCTCCCTCTGTAAATATGCTAGAAGAACTGAGCCATAAGAAAGAAAAAATATTAGAAAAAGGTCTTTTCCTCAATTTGTTTTCCTCCAAAGCTTTTTTTCTTTCCCATTTAGATTGGGGAAATAAAATTGTTTAGTGAAGGAAATAGAAATTCAGCTTTGAAGTTTTACATCTTGTCTGGTGTCATTGCATTGAACGTGAGCAAACCCCATCACAACCTCTCCTTAACGACTTCAGTTGAGGGACGTGAGGACATTAGCCTTCGATAGCCTGTGCACCTGCCGCTCTCACTGACAATTTGTCTTGGCTGTCTTTCTCCTTTTTATCTCCCATTTTGAAGGTGGAGATGTCTCACAGATGTGAAAGAGGTGGTAGGAGTCATTCTTTCTTTGTGCCTTCCATGTCTCTCATCCAGCCTTGCTCGTACGAAGTGCGAGAAAAACTTTCATGTTCTTGCAGTCAGAGCTGCTACCAGTTTGAGGGTAATGGGTTGAGCCCATTAAAAGGAGTGAGGATTTGCCCAGGCCTCGCATCATAGTCTGCTAAACACCATCTTAGAGAATTACTCTACTTTTACAGCAGCAGTATGTCTGATGTCATGAAAAACTTGGTGGTGCCTATTGACCAAAGAAGTGGTCTAATGTAAGGTGCATCTGGAAACTCACCATCGTTGCAGTCCTGCGAGGCAGTGCCAGATAAGCAGGGCAGGAGATAATACAACAGAGCATTTCTTTAAGCTTAAGCAGTTTCAAAGAACATTTGAGCTAAGAAGGGAACAAAGACGAGGCCAGGTCAGACAAGGGCTCTCTGTCCAGCCCCAGGGGCCAGCCGGCGCGTCGGAGAAGACTGACACAGCCCCAGGAGTGGGCAGTTGTGCAATAACTTGCCCAGAAGGAATACTTAGCCCTGAACAGCTGGGTAATCCCAAAAACAGGAGGTTTTCTCTTTCTGGGTTATATTTATTCCAGCTGTTTATGTAACACTGGTTGTTCTCTCACTCTTAAAAACAAACACTGTAAATAGCAGTGTGAACATGGTGGCTGTTGCCATCTATTATGCTTAGCCTGGGACCAGAAACACACAGGGACAGGTCACAAACAATGTAATGCTGCTTCTGGAAAAAACGCTATCCGGTGATGGCAGGGAAGAGGAAGTGTCAGCTGGATGGGGAAGTGTTGTGGTGGGGAAATACCAGTTTGAGAAACTGGTCTTGTCTTGGAAGACTCTCCTTGGAACGCAAGGGCTTGCTCTGCTTAGCTGTTGGATTTGGTATTTGAATCTTCATGGGTTAGCAAAATATACATATAGGGTTCTTATAATTCAGAGGCAAAACTGTGCATTCCTGGAATAGTTACTAGTAAGTAAAGTGAAAACAAATGCTGTCTTGGAAGAGAAGCAAGTACAGTTGCCCTTGGTGCTCGCTTGCCCTGCTTAGCGGCAAGAGGACTCGCTGAACTGGAGAGGTGGCATCTCTAGAGTGATATTTACATTTTCCCTCTAAGCCTTTAAACTTAGCTTGTTTTTTGCAACTATCAGATGGACAGAACTCTTTGGCTCCTCTCCTAGCACCTTGTGGGCAGCACCTCCCAGGCAGAACGGAAATGTGTGCTGGTTGCTGCAGAATTGCTGAGAGCAAGAAGCCTGCAGGTTTGGTGTCTGGTTAGTAGCCACATCAATGGCCATGCTACCAAAGGAGGCTACAGGGGCACTATCTGTAACCAGGCACCCAGCTGAGCCTGCACCTTACACGTTTCTTTATGAGTGATTAATTTGCAGAAGTGTGCTGTGCTGTCATGCTTGTACACAAAGGGCCGACACCCAGCCACAGGGACATGGGGGACAAGAGTTTTGCTGAAACTTTCTGGATGAAGTGACATGGTTTCTCCGTGCAAGTGCAGCACTATCTGCTTTTCTTCAAGGCGTTTCCACTTAAATCACAAATGTGTTTCTATTCATGTATATATTTCATATATATTCACCTTTTAAGACTTTTTTTTTTTTCCTTTCCACTTGAGATGGGGATGCAAATCCTTTTATCCCTCCTTTACCTATGCTCACTTTGTGCTGCTCTGTTTACTTGCAGAAGAAGTTCCTGATGGAGAACAGGATAATGACAAGCTGACCAAATCTCCACCTCCTCCACCTCCGCGGCGCAGTTACCTGCCAGGGTCAGGATTAACCACAACGAGATCAGGAGATGTCGTCTATGCAGCCAGAAAAGAGGCTGCTGCTGTCAAGGTTTGATGATTCAAACTCTAGGCAATCAGACTGTTGATGAGTGGCTGGCACAGAGAAACATTCCCAGGCTTGGGCTGTGTCTGTAAACTACAAAAGAAGTTGAGACAGAGTTGTGTCCTGATGATTGCTACTGAAACTGCTTACCAGGAAACACTGCTGTTAGGCCAAATAGTAAGGTTTGATCAGTTCTGTTTACAGGAGTTTTAGCCTTGCTGTGCTTTTCTCCTAGCAGTGCAGAAGGCAAGTCACAGGCTGATTTCATTTAGAGTGGTAAGAAGATCAAAAATAAAAAAGCGTGCCTTACACAGATGGGGAAGATCAGCTCAGATTTGAGAGTGCTTTTACAGAAATGTTGCAATTTAGTTTCTTTGGGCTTCCTTTCCCCATCTGTTCTGTTCCCTGAAGGAAGTGGAGGGAAATCCAAGTTAGGAAGCTTTTTAATCTGTGAACGTGCTGTCACATCAGCAATATTGGTTGCTTTTGAACTGATGAAGTAGCAGTCTCTGTAAAAAGGAAGAGGGACCTTGCAACAGGGGAATTGCAGTAGTGTCAAATTTGCTGTGGTTGTTTCGCAAAGGCACAACTGTATTTTCTGTCTGTGCTGTCTCATCCCCTTGTAGGAGTGCAGTGAAGATGCTGGGCAATCAGCACAATCCAAAGCCCCTAACGAGGATCACGCATTGTCTCGGAGCACAGGGCATGCTATAGCATCAGCTGCAAAAGATGAAGAGGAAGAGGAAGGAGATAAAATAATGGCAGAATTACAGGTATGCCTTTTGGGTTGCACACAAAGACACCTGTGCCCAGTAGAACTTCTAGGGCCCCAGCACAATTTCTAGCTCAGAACACAAAAGAAAGTAGGTCTGCCAGTCTCACTCGGTCCCACTCTGTTGCACTGGGTGGTACACGTTTTGTAAGCACCACCCAAATTTTGTTGAAGAAGTCTGAAGCTGAGAGAGTGGTTGAGAATGCAGTGTTGCCACTGGAGAATCTTACACACGTTGATGGGACAAGTGAAATATTGGTGTGCTTGTCCCTGGCCTAGCATTTCTCACTTAGTACCAGACTGGAGCGGTGCTGAGAGCCTGTCATTTCTGTTAACGTTAGTGGGAGCAGAGAACACGGCGTCTGCTCCTGGCCGGCCGTGCTCACTTGTTCTGTGCTATGGTCCAATGTTTCCCAGAGTGTCTGAACATTGAAACATGTTCTGTTCCCTGTTACGTGACTGGTACAATACTCTGCCAGTGGCATAGAAGTAGTGCGCTCTTGCTGGTCCTTCGCTTGGTAGCACATAGGCCGGTTTAGTTCGGCAATGGTGCTGCTGCAGTAGAAGCCAGCTATTCCAGCTACCATCAGCGAGCTCCAGCTTCCCAAGGTCACTCTCTGTCCTCTTCTGTGCCCACAAGAGGAAAGGAGATGTGGATCAGGTTAACTGGCTATAACTTCTGATGCTGGGTTGTTTCAGCGCACTGCCACAGCATGATCCCCGCTGTCCACCTGCCGAAAGGTGAGTTTGGTGCTGCCCAGGGAGCATTTGCAGCACAGGAGGCATGGATGTTAAGCAGCAACTGTTACATGTGATGGGTGCACCGTGCCCTTTTGCTCAGCTTTTACCCACCAGTGCTTCAAACAGCTGGTTTGCAGGGAGCGAGAGCAGCGGTTTACCCTTATCCCCCATTTGTGTGCTAGTGGCTGGTACGACAGGGAAGCTGAGGACAGTGAAACTGTCACATTGTCTCCTGTCTCCAGGAAAGCAACCCGGCTGCCTTGCCAATGGCAACAATGAAGTAGAGGTTGAGGTCTGGAAAGGGGGGACTGAGAGGAGCTGAGGAGGAGAAATAGGCATGGTATCTCAACAGGGAATGAGTGTTCAATGCTAGCTCTGGGGACAAGCAATGCTCATTTTAAACAAATACCAAAATACCAGGTTTATTTTACAAGGTTGGCAGTGTACCATGTCTCAGAAAGGGCAAACTGCTTGATCCAGGAGCTGCAGGCTCGTCAGTCTGTTGTCAGTCACAGGCAGAATAAGGGGAAATCAGGTATGGGATTCAATCCATGAAGAACTGAAGGACAGAGATAGACAGTTATGCTAGTGAACACAGATCTTTCAAAGCAAACAACACTCTTTGATCAGGTAACAGGTTTGACTACTTAAACTGAATTGTATAACTATAAACATTTTTGGAAGTCATTTGATCAAACATCATACAACATTCTGATAAAAATCTGGCACCTTAGAGTAGACAAAAAAAAATCATAGGATGACTGAGAGCTGTTTGGCTCTGAAAGTGTTGCCCTTGATGCAGGTGTTTATAGTCAGGTCCCACAGGGATCAGCTGCAGGCCCAGTGTCACTCTGTATTTTCATCAGCAGCCTGGAAATACATTTAAAATCCTTACTGTTTACATCAGCTTAATTCAAACTCATCAAGTATGAGAGCAGGGAGATGATAGCAATCACTTAATGGTCATAATACATTCACTGAAACGTAAGTCCACATGAAGAACAACAAAATACAGGCCAGACCACAACTGCATGTCTTGGAAAGAAGCGGGCACTGCAGTGACAAGTAGACAGGAGCTCCCAGGTCAGTGCTGTTGCCACAAAGTTAGTGTCTGCTTTGGGTGTGGATATGAGAACAGGGAGTGTTTTTATCTCTGTGTGCAGGATCAGTGAGATCAGTGCTGGGCTGCTACATCCATGATTAAGTATCCATGCGTCCCCTGTTTGAAAAGGCTGTAAAGAATATGAAGGTTCAGAAGAGACTTGAGTAGAATGTAGAGATACTTTCAAGGGAAGTACATTTTTAATCTAGCAGAAAAAAGCATACTAATAATCAGCTGCTATAGCACAGGCTGTATTTGGACACTGTTATACGTATTTCGCAGCAAAGGTGATAAATAAACAGTTACCAAGGGAAATGGTGAATTCTTCATCGCTTGAAGTCTGAAGGACTTTGAGGATGCTTTTGTAGATGATATGCCTAACTGTGAAACACATCACTGGTCTTACAAATGGGTGAGCTGGGGAAAGTCTGTACCCTGTACTATGAGCAGCAAGACTACTTTTTCTAGTAGCTCCATGTTGTCTTAGGTACTCTGGTCTGTGAACACATCAAACAGGATGTAATGGAAAACCAGAACCTCTACACTCTGACTTTTGCATTATTTTTTTGTCGTTATTGTTACTTTCCTGAGTTTTGCATAAACATACAGTACATATGAGGAGTACACCATTTAAAGAACGGCCTGATTCTAGTCTGTAATCAGGGCTATTACTTTCATGAGAGTTGCCAGGAATTAAATAATTTCCCCAATACATGGTATAATGATATAATCTTCTTGCATGTGACAGTGTGTTTGACCCCTGTAAGCACTCCTCCCTCATTCCTCGGGCTGGTGGAGATGTCCTACCTGCACATCTCCCTGGAGGCAGGCTGTGTCAGTAGAGGCCTGCAGAAATCCCGGTGCTGCACACTTGCAGCCAGCACTGTGCAGTGGTGGCAGTGACAATTCTGCTCCTCCAGATCTGGGAGCCAGCAGACAGAGAAACCCAAAGGAAATCAAAAGAGGATAGCAAGAGAAAGGGCTGAAGAGTCCAGGCCAGGCACTGGGGTACACACGGTGGGAGGCCAGTGGTCTGCACGCCTAGATGTCGGGACTGTCACCATCTGGAATGTTAGTGATGGCTGCGGCAAAGCCACATGTCACCAGGTCTAAAGTTTCAATAACAGTTTGTGTGGGGAGAAGTGGAGTTCTGTAACTCTTGCGTGATTATCAGCCACTAGGAAGTAGGTACTGTCACAAGCCCGAAGTTTGTCGTGGGCTTCCTGCTTAAGCTTGGATAGTTTGCAGCACCTCTGTGTGCCTTCGTCTCCCCATCTGTAAAAACAGAAATCAAGCTCATCTCCCTGCAGGGAACATTGAGGTCAACGTGATGAGTTAAGAGTGCAGTCTTGGCAGGCTGGAGGGGATGCGCTATTGCTCTTAGTCTGATAGTCTAAAATCTCTATTACCTTGTGAGCTTGTAGATAATGTTGTTGAGCTGTGAATGTTAAAAACAAATGCTCTCTTTGTAGTTGGTCATCTCCAGACATTTCTGTGTAAAAGCTACTTGGTCTTCTGATAACCTGCAGTATTTATTTCCTAGGCTTTCCAGAAGTGCTCATTTGTGGATGTAAACTCAAACAGTCATGCTGAACAGTCCAGAAATGATATACATGTTAAAGACATAAGGCCTGGGACTTTAATGCATCACAAGGAAAAGAAGGTAACAAGTGGCGTTTATAAACATGCCACCCGGTCTTGGCATAACCTTCTTTTCTTCAAAACTAATCTTATATCTTGTGTCCGGTTCTCTCTAACCCCCACCCACCACTGCCCGGTGGTTTTCTTCCTTTGATCTCCCTATGGCTCAGAAATGCTTGTACAGAACGTTGTATCAATCTGCATTATGTATCTCATCAGCAATTATACAAGGATTGCATGAAGTTTTATGATTCTGTGAAATCAAAATTAAAGAGGATACATCAGTTTCTGCCAAAGAGATGTTCATACTCCTCACAACATCCTTCCAGTGTTGTTCTGCCAATGGACGGTGTAGCATCTCTCCTAAGCCTTGTTCTTGTATTGAGGAGAATTAGTGGTTCCTCTCAGGCACAAGAGCCACTTTAGAGAATTTCTGCTTTATTTTGCTTCATTTGTTGATCCCAGAAATAGTTATTCAAAAATCCCATTCAGCTTATTGGAAGACAGAGTCAAGGTGGGTGGGCTGAATTTGCTCTTACTCTGCAAGCTAATGCCTGAGATTCAGTCTTTGGGGACTTAGGAGAGGTGCCTCATGTCAGGTGCCAGGCTGGGGTGAATTTCACAGCAGTGTCTGGACTGAGGTTCCTGGTTGAGTTGAGTGGTCTTAGTGGGAGGCCAATGTGCAGGATGAAGAGAAGGACAAATATTTCTGCCTTTGGAGACCTCTTTTCAAGAATAACAAATTGGATCATTGCTGGGTTGGGGGGGCGTCATGCAGGCATGACAGCTTGTCAGCCAAATGCCAGTTTGCAGTGAAGGGGGACGTGGTGGGGAAGAAAACACAGCTCTTCAGCACAGCATTTCAACTTGTGCATTTTGTGTGTGCATGCAAATCGGAAACAGCAGCAACACCTTCTCTGATGTAGCATCATGAGTAGCTCCCAAAGGATTTCGTGGGAGACATTGCACTTCAACTTCATTTAACAGAAACTGAGGCAAGGAGAGAGAAAATGACCTTGCCAGGTCCCCAAGGCAGGGAAGAACCCAGCGGCCTGAACTGCAGTGAGCTGCAGCTGCATAGGGCACTGCAGCTGTAAAGCACCAGGTGACACCTGGATCGTGGTGTCTTGTTAGCATCAAAACCTGTACGTCCCCCAGAAGGTACTGCTGGCAGATCGGGGCATCACACACGAGGGGTCGGCTTTGAGCTGCCCAAACAGCAGTTCTGGTCTAAAGCTGCAGGCACCTGGCTGGTGAGGGTACAATTTCATAGGTACGAGTAAAAGGGAAAAACTGCTTTGTTGTGGATTGTGTGACAGCATTATGAGGAAAAAAGAAGTGTGAATGTATCTTTGTTCATCCTCGTTACTACTGGTGTCAGAATGAGTAGATCCTATTGTAGCACGGACACCTGGGTCACCATTCAAGACACCGCATATCCTGTAGCACAGAGGTTTCTTTGGAAGGTGCTGCCAAGTAATTGCCATAAACTGCTACTTACTGGAATAACACAAAGTCCAGGAAACTAACATTAATGAGATCTGGTTTTGTCATCTGACATGACATTTATTTGCTTTAAATATGGAGTCTCGTGGTTATGATAAACTCATAGAGGAAAATAACTTTGTTGTAGTTTTACTGTTTAGTAGAAGGGCTGCTGCTGTCCTAAAATGAGATCTGTTGTACAATGACACCACGAGATGTAGCACTGATGCTTGGAACAAGAACTTGCTAAAAAAGATGCAAAGCAATGGGACCTCAGTCACTGAGTCAGCTTATCGACAGACAGCAAGTGCCATTAAATGGCCCAGGCTAATTCTGGGAGCTTGGACATGTCACGGGACTGGGAGATGCCTGCCACTTTGCAGGTCTGGGCCTGAAGTGACCACAAGCCTGGCGCTTTGTTCCGATGCCGGTTCTCGGCACCAAGTGCAGACAGTGTCAGCTGGCCCAGCGATGCCTTGCTGGCTGGGGCTGGTTTGTGGGAGAGCTCCTCCTTGTTTAGAAATACGAGGGGTGTCAGGGTATCTGTGGAGCAGCTGCACAGCCTTGTTACTGCTAATAAGCCTTTGTAGAGATGAACCATGACTCTGGTTTATCGTTGACTTTCTCACTCCTGGTTTTGACTATGTGTAAAGTTTTTCTGTGTAAAATCCTCACACAGTATGTAAGAAAATAACACACGAGGTGTAGAAACTATACCTTGAAAACCTCTGCGTGCACGGGGAGCGCATGCACTAGCCAACCTGTAGGTTTCTGTACCGTCACTCATTCATCTCAGCTGGGGGCGTGACTCCCGACTGACCTTCTGCACATCTGGATGCTCATATAAATGCAGTCTGTCCGTCTGGTGTGTTAGGAGTCAGCGTCCAGTCTCAAGCAATGGGAGCAGTAACAGTTGTGGCTCACTGCCTTCCAGCACTTGAGGCCAGATTCATTTCCTTCTTGGCGAACCATCTTTTGACTGTAGATGCCTCTCTCGCTCGTCCATAGGAATGGTGCCCCCTGAGGTCACTCCCTCATCCTGGTGAGTGGTGTTTATCCTAAGCTGTCACTAGCACTCAACAAACCAAGCCCCAGAGAAAAGCCTGGTATTACAAAACAGCATCTCCAGGGGACCTCATTTGGCAATAAAGAAAAAAGTGCCCTTAAATTTGCATTGCTGGGAATATACTACTTTTGAGCTAGTGGCTGACCTCTCTCTGTGCTGTTCAGAGTTGCTTCTGTAAGTGAATGTTAGCTCAATGTTTCATTCTGCCCTTTCACAGGCGCTGCAGGGTGCCGCTGGTAATTTTGAAGGAGGGCTTTTAAGCTGCAGCAAGGATTTAGAAATGCTCAGACTGTGATCGTATTAACTGTGATGGAACAGCGCTGCTCAGGTGTGAGGGACGTTAGAAGCAGAAACATGTCGTAATTTGAAAAGCAGCTTTTACTGGTACAGGGCTTCCTCTTGAGGCCAGCCAGCCTCTGGCGTCGGGCACTCCGGTGAGCTCGCAACCCACAGCGCCCTGCTGTCAGCCCGACCACGCCGCGCTCCCGTTGGTCTGTCCCAGCACAACTTAACCACATAACTGTGAATCTTTTCTTTATACAAACTAGGGATTTTTTTTTTAACTGGAAAGTAGGGGGTCAGGGTAGTACTGTGTTGGAAATACAGTAACTAGTGTGCTTTCACCTACTCCGGAGGCCTCGGTCAGACAGGAGCCCCAGGTGACAGCCCGTGCTGGCCCCGTGCACAGCTCAGAGAGCAGCAGCATCACGCGCTGTTCTGCCAGAATGGGGAATTTTGCCCCAAAGAAAGATAGGAATCAGATGACAACTTCAGACATTCCTTTGCAGCAGTAAACACAGTGGTGAGTTCACAAGGTCTGCGCTTCCCCTGAGAATATGACAATTCGCTTGGGGGAGAAAAAAAAAAACCGTCCTGTAAAGGTGACAGCCCTGAATAACTAAGTAATCCGACTTTCCCCCTTAGGTGTATGGGGCTGCAACAGGATCTCCCACAGATAGTGACCATCCTAAAGCGAAGAGGGAAGGGAAAACTGAAGAAGAATTGGGTTCTGATTCATCCAGCACAGCTGACAGTAAAATTGGCTTTTCAATGATTGACAGTCCTACATTTAGCAAGGGGTTTTTTGTAGACAGTAGAGACTATTCTAAGAAAAACTTCCAGAATACAAGCACAAACCTGTCTGGTGTCAGTTTGCCTGAGGATGACAAACGAAGAGGAGCTCCAGATATTTTAGGATCCCATTTTCCAGCTGTTGAAACTGGAAAACAAAAGCCAAACTATGGAGTCTCACGAGATCCTCGCCAGGGCCTGCCGCAGGGTGAAGCTTTGCAGAGCACAGGGAAGCACATCCCCATCAGTAGCGTTGCCCCTCTCGTGAGGCACACGCAGGAGGCTGCAGGGCCTCAACCTTCCTCACAGGAGCAAGAAGCTTCTGCAGTCAGCTACAACCAGGTTGTGCTGAGACCCAAAGTGTCCACAAGTAACAGTGTGAGCAGCATTGAAGAGACAGAGTCTCCGGCTAGCTCGCCAAGTGATGACAGCCCACCCACAGAAAACATCGCCTTCATGATTACTAAAACAGCTGTCCAGGTCCTCTCGAGCGGGGAAGTTCACGATATAGTCAGCCGGAACGCTGGAGATGTGCAGACAGTGAACATCGATGGGAGGAAGGACGTGGCGTCAGAGAAGGGCGTCCCAGGAAGCACAGACAGCGAAGAGCCAGTGGTGTGTCTGGACAAAAAACCCGTCATCATCATTTTTGATGAACCGATGGATATTAGGTCAGCTTATAAGCGGCTTTCTACAATTTTTGAGGAGTGTGATGAAGAGTTGGAGAAAATGATGACAGAAGAAAAGATAGAAGAGGAAGAGGAGGAGGAAGAAAATGAAGCACATGAAAGCTCCGAGAACCAGAAGGAAGAGCCACCAGTAGTTAATGACAAAAAAGCAACCACAGAGGAGTCCTCAGCAGCTCCCGAGCTCAACGAGCAGTACGTGTGTAACCCCGAGTCTTCCTCCGACCCTGCACAAACCAGCCCTCCCGCAGAGGAGGAAAGCACGAAGACGAGTTTTAACAAATACCGTCAGATCTATGGGCTGAACACGGAAGCAAACCTGGACTCCACTGATCAGTTTGGAAGCAGGCAGGAGTCCAAGAAAAAATTTAAGTTCAAATTCCCTAAAAAGCAGCTAGCTGCTCTGACACAGGCGATACGGACAGGAACCAAGACTGGGAAGAAGACCTTGCAGGTTGTGGTCTATGAAGAAGAGGAGGAAGACGGGACCCTGAAGCAGCACAAAGAAGCAAAGAGATTCGAAATCACCAGATCTCAGCCCGAGGACAGTGACAAAAGTCCTTCTGGGAAGCAAGAAGGAGCCCCGGGAGCTGCAGTGTCCCTGTCTAGGACTGACGAAATTCGGCAGAGTACATACCGAACGCTAGACAGCCTTGAGCAGACTATAAAGCAGCTGGAAAACACCATCAGTGAAATGAGCCCAAAATCTCTCCCTGAAAGCACATACAGCTCTAAGGGATGCACTGTCCCCTTCTCTGCCCAGGTAGTACCAGAGAGCCCACCCCAAGAGCTTGTAGTGCTGGATGAGAGCCTTGCTGGTGTAGAGCCCCCTCCGTCACTCCCAGCCACGTCACGTAAGGTACCTCAGTCCGAGAAACCAAACCTCCGGCTGCTTTCTAAAAATCTGCAATAATCACCGTTAAACCAGAGGGTCTTGTGATTTGTTTGCTTCCTCTCAGGTGGCTTGTTTGGGCTCCCCACGAGGTGTCTAACAGCTAATAGACCGTTGGGGTGGTTTTTTTTTAATCTTTGCTGCTGATTGGTGATGGGCAAATGCAGGGGAGCTGGGTCAAATAATCCGCTGTGTGAAATGACAAGCGTCACTGACACGAAATCCAGGCTGATCAGTAGCTGAGCAGTTTTCTCCATTTGATTCTGGAAATTAACACCTGCAGTGTGAAGCTCCTGAACTTTCCCTGCATGTAGTACTGTTGGCTTTTGGTTTTTTCTTTGGCGCATGGTGTGCAGTGTCCTCTTCAGGCCTGGCGGTGCTGATGGGGCCTTCCCCTTCTCTCCCCTCCCTGCCCCTCCGCTCGTTTCCGCAGGGCTCCAGCGCAGCCGCCCAGACCAGCCGGATGCCGGTCCCCATGGCTTCAAAGACTAGGCAAGGAAGTGCGGAGAAAGCGGGCAAACAGCACAAGCTGCAGGATCCACGCCAATACAGACAGGTAGTTTTACCCTAAACCCGGTGTTTGGACGGACATTCCGTGTTGTTTGTGTATTTAAAAACTCCAGTAACTGACCGCGATTATACCGAGTAACAGCTGCCTGTCTTGCGAGTGAGGCCTAACTGGACGTCCTGGATCCTGGGGGCATGACAGTCTCTACTGATCTTCTCACCATGCTTGTGCATGCATGTCTGCAATAAAACACCTGCTGCTTTTTGTTTCGTTTCGTTTTGTTTTTAAAACTGTGGTATTCAGCTGTAATCTGAAGATGTCAGCTACTTGTTTACTTTCCCTTTGGTCAATGTGGCGGTTCCTTAGGAGAGCTGGGAACGCTTCTGTTGTTGAGAGAGTCTTTCCAGGGAGCCGCGGACACTAACCTGTCGGTGTAGTAGATGGCAGTCGGTGCACGTTAACTCTCCGGCCGGACCCGTCTGTTGGCGCGTTGATAACCCAGAAGCACGACCGGTGCAGTGACTGGTCCCTAACCCGTAGATCGCGCCTGCTGACGGAGGCTGTGTCGGCTCTCGCTCTCTCTATGCACTCTGCGCCGGGCACTTGGGGTTTTCTGCCGGGTCCAGCCCACGGCTGCAGGACTTGGCTCAGGCCTCGAACCGTTAATTCTCACTCTCCGTAGGGCTGTTTCCCCAGGTCCGGTTGGTTTATCGTGTTACTGGCTTTCTGACAAACTGTCTCCTGCCGTCTTTATTTGCAGGCTAATGGAAGTGCTAAGAAAGCTGGTGGGGACTATAAGGCTACTTCCCCTACCCTACCTGCTTCTAAGATCCCAGCCTTTTCTCCCACTTCTGGGAAAAGCAGCTCAGCACCTGCTTCTAGCGGTGACAGCTCTAACACTCTGAATCCCCCCACTAAAACCTCCATTCCCTCCTCTAACCTTCTCGGTCCTCAGACAGGTCGCCTAACTTACTCTACCTCCCTCATCCCCTCTGTCTCCAACGGCTCCTCCAAGCTGCAGAGCCCCGCTTACCCAGGGAAAGGTCACCATCTCTCCTTCTCACTGCAGACTCAAAACGGCCGGCCACCCCCTCCTTCCTCCTCTACCTCCCCCCCCCCCTCCACCTCCCCGGAGCCATCCTAAAGGCCGGGCGCAGCACGCGCACGACGTCGCCCGGGCTTCTCGCTCATCCGCAGAGAATCCACAGCCAATATTTTAACCAGGGAATGTAACCGTTTTGCTGTATTGCTGGAGGCTTAATACTAATCACGTGCTAAATACTGAATTACTACACTAGATTAGCGTGCCGGTTTTGTAAAGCTCCCTTGCTGCTGTAATGGTAGAAGAGCATTTCCTCTCTGTGGGCAGCACCCTGTGCACAGACGGGTGCAGGCGCGCGCGTGGGCCTGAGCGCGTGTGCACAGCCGCGAGCCGAGCATGGGAAAACGGATGGGTACAGATTTACTAAGTTGTTTTGTATAAAGCTATTTTTCATTATGGGGACTAGAAGTGAACAGAGATATACTAAAGTGTGATTATACACAACTGTAAAACTGAAACTAAAATATTTTTCTTTTATTTTGGTGTTATTTAGCTTTGTTACAGATTTCTATTTTTGTCAACAAATTTCATGGTTCCTTTCGAGATCTTTTTGCCAAAACATTTTGATACTATTGTAATGTACATTTGAAAGTAGTATGCTGGACAGTAAACCTCTGCACAAGGAGCAGAACGAGACTGGTCTTGGTGTGTACGAGGCAACTCAACCTATTGCACTGCCGTTCAGATTATATTTAAGAATTTGCCAAGCCAAGAAAAAACATAATAAATTGTTTTACACATCTAGGTCGTTGCCAATTACTTTTTTTCTTAGCTAAATCCACCCTTTTCCTTCAGTTTTATTTTACTGAGACCTGGTAACCCATTAACGTATTGCTTTGTGGATTTTAAAATGTACACTTCTGCACTGTTCTGTATACTGGCAAACTTTTGTACATACCTATAAATATATATAAATAAGTAAATACTGTATGTGGCTGGGCACATAGAGTAGTTTTACCACACCAAAGTTAATTTTTATGCATGCTTAAAAATGTGTACGGGGAAGGGTTGAAAAAGATGGCTATCAGTCAATTAGGAAAAAAGGCAAGAAGCTTGCATAGCTCATGGTTTTGTAAATAAATTTATTTGTATAACACCATAATGTAATATACAGAACTATGATGAGCAAAGATCTTTACAAAAATAAAGGGCTGCATGCTTATATATTTGTATTCTGTCACTAATAACTTTTATAATGGTCTCAATTAGCTGTTTGCCTGTGAGCATTAAAGCATCAGGAGAAAAGCTGACTGTTTTCCCCAGATTAAAGCCATACATAAGTATTAATTTTAAAATGGGGTCTTTCAAATGTACCTGGACAACAGCTAATTACTGGAACTCCAGGTTAGAAAACTAGCAATAAAAAACCAAAAGCACCTGAACCTTTGATTGAATGAGGTCTCATCTCTCCCACCTGTAAGGGCTCTTCGTTTTACTCCTCCTGTCTCTGCAGAGCATCGCCTCGAGGCCGAGCCCTCAGATGGTGCCGTCCCTTGCAGCGGGAGTAACTAAAGGACGTCAAAACTCACACCTTGCAAACACAACAGAGTCTGGTTCCAGCAGGGCCGCGCTGAGTGCCAGCCCCTCCGCTGGCGCAGCGCTGAGAAAGGCCCACTGCTGAGTTTGCAGTGAGCCCACAGGTTCACTGTGATGGGATCTCACTGTTCTAAAAAACCAGAACTGACACTGCTCACCGCTCCCTTTTGAGGTGGAAGGAGCTGGAAGGCAAGCAGGACCGTCCTGCTGCCTGCCACGGTCCGAGTCAGCCTGGGAGCTGGCAGCAGAGCACGCGCCATGCCGCTGACCATGCCCCTGGGGGCTGCAGCAAACACAGAGCAACGCAGCCCCCAGCCCCACCAACAGGCAGGCCACAAGGGTGGGAAGGCAGAGCAGAAGAGGGTGCACAGGGCAGGGAAGAGGAGGGATGGGCAGGACACATCTGCCGTGAAATGTAGAGGGCCAAAATTCGCCTGCTCCCTGCCAAGAGGCAGCTCTTCCCGCACGCGTAAACACTCACGGGTTTGCTAACAGACGGTTAAGGCCGATTCTTACCGTCTCGTGACTGAGCCACAGGTACCCGCACCACTTCAACAGTGGCAGATCTGGTTTTTAAGTCATTCACCCTCCCAGCCTCGCATCAAACTGCACCCTTCCTTCCGCAGGCTGGCACAACCAACTGCTTGCTTGCTGTCTGACTGGGGACAGCGGAACGACCTGGCTTTCAACACAAGAACGCAGCCTTCTGTAGCAGGTGAGGCCACACCTCACGCTCCCTCCTCCTGCTGCAGACAGGAAGAGACCCTGGCGTGCAGCTCAGCAAAGGATCTTCCTTCAGCTCTGCAGCCACGTAAAGAAGTTAAGAAACCGTCAGGACTGTGGCCGTGTCCCAGTTCCACATTATCAGTGCTGTGAGCGACACTAATGGGGACCACAACGAGCCCTTCAGAGAGGCTTAAAAAGCTGGGAGGTGCTGTAGGACTGCTACCAGATACCAGAAAAAGGATTTCAAACTAAACCACGGATCCCTGCTGAAACAAAACCCGCTGTTTGGAACCATTCTAAAAATCCAAACGCTACTACCTACCATCACAGTTCATCCTTTCGTTACTTCCCCGTCGTATCCCAGCTTAGACCTGTTCCTAACCACTTGTAGCCACACAGCTCCACGCAGTCCTCAGACCAAAAGCACTTTCCAAGCCAGTTTGAATCCTTCTGAAGAGTATAAAACCAAAAAATAGGCACAAACTGAAATACAATAAATTCTGCTTAAACATGAAAGAAAGAGAAAGCCCCTTTTGAGTGTAAGCGTGATCACACACTGGCACAAGCTGCCCAGGGAGGTTGTGGAGCCTCCATCCTCAGAGCCACTCAAACCCTGACCAGCCCCAGCCCTGAGCCAGGGCAGGACCAGGCGACCCCGAGGTCCCTGCTCACCTCAGTGGCTCTGTGACCTCGTGGGGCTGCCCACCCCGCGGAATCCAGGGGAAACGCTGGCACTAACGGCATTCACCTCAGGGCAGGTTATTGCACGCGTTTCCCTCCCTGTGTCATCAGGCTGTCATCCTTCTCTTCCAGGGCCAGAGGGGAAAAAAAACAAATAAAAACACACCCCACCTCAAATCCAAAAACAAAATAATAAAAAAAAGGAAAAAAACAGCACCAGAGGTAAGGGTCTGAAGTAGCTGCTCTTAAGATCAGGGCATGACAATGGCTCCTAAACATGTCTGTCCTCTCAGTTGCCACGCTGGCCGGAATGTAAGGTGGCCCCAAACCTTGGCAGTCCCCCAAGAGCAGCAGCAGCTGCAGCATTGGTGCCTTCCCAGCCTGAGACACGCTGCCCCGTGCTCCTGCCTTCGGGCAGAGCTCAGCCATGCCCGATCCCCAATGCGCCCGACAGATCACTCCCTCCATCTCCCCAAAACCTCAGTACACCCTTCCGCCCGCCCGGCTGCCGCCTCCGAGACCCGACTCACACGGACAGGCAGGGCAGCGGTCACCCAGACTGCTGTAACCCTCACAGATATCCCTGACTTGTCCAAGCTCCTTCTGCAACAGCTCTGCAGCTTCCACGCAGCCGGTGCGGCAGCAACGGTACCACCAAGGCTGCACGTCTGTGCCTGCAGCACTGCCAGCCAACACAGCTCCTGTCTGGTGGGCTGTTTTTAAGTTCCCGGTTTTTCAAAAGACCTTGTGCTCCGTTTTAGTCAATACAATAGCAGTTCTGTGCTCTCAAGCACAAGAGTCAGCAGCCACACAGCCAGACTCACAAGTGAAGTTCGTTAGTTACCTATGAACACACAAAGTGAAGATTAGCTTGATCCATCACAACAGCTGTCGGATTAGAGAACAAGGCAGACCCCCCACGCACCTCCACAAGCACCCGGCTTCACCAAGGAGACCCCCGCGCCTTACTGGGGATGCTCAACATGCACTCCAGCGAGCTTGAGGCTAACGATGGGGCAAAGTACGCCTCCGCTGAGACGATGGGTCGCTGCTGATGAACAGCCTTACACAGGCATCACCACACCATATTTCAACATCTCTTGTTCAAATGCACTTTACTACCAGGCCCGAAACAAAAGTCATTGTCAGTTACTCCGTCTCACAAACCATACCCATTCATCCCTGCGCTGCACGCAGAAACGCTGCCACGGCACCGGCTTCCTGTTCGCTCTGGGGGGAAAAGACATTTTAGTTTGCAAAGAGCCAAGAGCACGATTCAATTTTCTGTGAACTGTACCAGACGCACACACTTACGCGGCGAGAACTTTCACAGATCTTCAACCATCGTATCCCATGCTCTTCCTGACAGCTAATATTTTATGATGATTTCTTACAAGGATCAAAAGCACAGCAGAACAAGCACGGGCCCGTTACAGCCGCTTTGGAAAGAAACAGAAGTCTGCTTACAGCCACCTCAGCCTACACATCCCAGTTACTGTAATTCCTTCTCAGCGACAGGGCACACACCTACGAGCAGATTTTTCTGCGCTCACAACGTTCACTGCTTATTTATTATTGACACAGGTTTAATCCTCTGCCAAGCAAATGATGGTGTAAGACCTGGGAATACCCAAAGCAATGAACAGGCGCTTTGTTTTCAAGGAAGTATGCAAGAAAATAGTAGGAAAAAAGTAACTGGTAGAGAGTTCACACAAAGCAGGGTTTTTAGCGTACAAGCTCACACTCATCATTCGTAACACGTCCAAGACCCACACTACAGTAGAGTTCTGACTGGCAGGTACTGGTATTGACTCCTTACGACTTGGGGACAATTATGGACGTTTTTTTTTTTCAGTGTTACAAAACCAGCACAGTGAACAAACCAACTTGCTCCATACCTCAGAATCAGATTATACATCAACAGGAGAATATTTCCCCAGCTGAAGCCCTCTCCCCTGTGCTAACCCCCACGGTCTCGCCCCACAAAGGAGACCTTAAAGGGAAGTGCCCTTCACCCAGGAGCAACTGCAGGTTCTGTGACCCCGAGGGCAGCTGCCAACTGCAACTTTTAAATGTGACACTTTTAAACTGATCCTTAG